TTGGAAGTTTGAGTACCGCCCTGTCTCAATAATAATATGTTCGTGTTTGGCGACAACGGATATAATCCGCCTGACCGGTTCATCGCATCGGAAACAAAAAAGCGAAAGAATTTGAAACGTTTATCACGATGTTTTTCGTCAGTCGATAACGCGTTAGTGAATAGTAGTGTTTGTTACGTGGCTCAAACGAAATCAAAAATGGCACATGTTTACGAAAATGCTGAACTTGTGGACATGATTCTTATTTACGGGGGGGCAGTCTTTACAAAATGCTCCCGGATGCATCACGGATTTATGCGAATCGGTTTCCCAATCGAGTGCAACCAACCCCTCGTGCCTTTGTTAATGTAGTACAAAGGGCTCGTGAATCAGGTGACTTAAGACCTCACAGGTCAGGGCATGCTGCTCCAAGACCGCACGATCAAATACAGGTCCGCACTGAAATACTTGTCGGGACGATACTTTATTAAACAATGTAACATTTTTTTTATTTTTTTTTTATTTTTACACACATATTTTGGTTTATCTTCCTTCTACAATCATTATCTGAAAATTAATGACTCAACTTCAAAGCTGAAACATTTTTTAACGGAAAGGTGGTACAGCTTCAGTTCTCCGAAAATATTGGTCAATTATACATTGACACAGCTCCTTTCAGAATAAAACAATCTGATAAATAATGTTATAATCAATTACGCTGATTAACGCTTTCCACAACGCGTGAGAATAAAAAAAAACATGTTATATGCATAAGAAGCACTTTGCCTACATACATATATATATTTTTTGTAAATATCCCAAATTCCCGTAAAAAACGCTCACATACTATATCAAATACCAAAAGACAGATCAAGATATATACCAAACATAAAAAAACTTAAAAGCTTTCAAAATTTTGAGATTTGCCAATAATTGTCTCATCAAAACGGCGTAATTCTATAAAATATCGCATCATCCTTGGAAACAAATAAATTGTTGATTTGTTACAAACTGTCAAACTGAGCTTTGTGAGCATTATAATAAAAACGTGTTTGACAATGAATTTTTCTAAAGAAGAAATGGTGAATATGGTGTTCGTTTTGGGCGAAGCCCAAAGAAATAATTTCCTAGCATCTCACATTTATAAGCAACGGTACCCTAATATGCGACATCCAAGATCGGAAACATTTTCCACACTACGAGAACGTTTTGAATCAAGTGGAGCAGTGGAATATAGTAAAAAATGTCTAAATAATCCAAGTGTCACCAATGAGTCGAATCAGTTGGAGGTTCTATTAAAGTTGCAGGAAAATCCCCATTTAAGTGCACAGCAAATTGGAGTAGAAACTGATATATGCAGAACTTCTGTCCAAAAGATTATTGACAAACATAGGTACCAGCTCGAATGGAGTTTAGTAGAATAATGCTAAATAAAGAGAGTGAAGACACTATACTTTCGTGGATAAGGTTCTTTTTAGCGATGATACAACTTTTAACAGCATAGGTGTTGTCAACAGGCTTAACATGCACTATTATGCGACGGAAAACCCTTACTGGGTTAGGCAAATAGATTTCCAAAATAAATGGAGCTTGAATATATACTAAGTGACATATAAATCCGAACACCCAGTTTAAATGGTTTTATTTTAATAAAAGTTGGTGAATGTATTTATCTTACTGTAAATAACAAGTGAAAAAATGTTCAGCCTTATCAGATGGACATTCCGGTTTTTATACTGCTTTTTTTTAATTCACTAACGCTCTAAAAATGAATATTTCAGCCGCAGTAAAGAATCAACGTTGGCGGATTTTGGTTCTTGACATCCTTTACGATCGGTTACGATGCCTAGAGTACGGAGACCTGTACGATTTCGTCAACTTAGTGAGTTTGATAGGGGCCGTATAGTGGGACTTCGGGAAGCTGGACTTTCTTTTCGGGCAATTGCAGTTAGAGTGCAAAGAAGTGTAGACACTGTGGTTAGGTGTTGTCAGGCATGGCTTCGAGAAGGCAGTACGCAAAGAGCAAGGGGCACTGGACGCCGCCGTAGAACAACAGACCGTGAAGATCGCCGCCTAAAATTATTGGCCTTAAGGGACCGTTTCTCCACCACCAGGTCCATTGCAGATGAATGGTTTGCAGAACACGGAAGACCTATTGGCATGCGAAGTGTTTACCGATGAATGAGAAGTTTTGGCTTGTTTTCATACCGGCCACACTGGGTCCTCCCTTTAACTCGAGAACACCGACGTAATCGCCTTGAGTGGTGCAGACAACGGGCACTCTGGGATCAGGAATGGAACAGTATTGTCTTTAGTGACGAGTCTAGATTTTGTTTAGGCATGCACGATGGTCGTGCCAGGGTTAGAAGGCGACGTGGTGAAAGGAGGAATCCACAGTTTTTTGTTGAAAGACATGTTCATCACACTGTTGGGGTTATGGTTTGGGGTGCTATAGCTTATGGTTCCAGGTCACCTTTAATCTTCATCAGAGGTAACATGAACGCGCAGCGTTATATCCACGAAGTTCTAGAACCCCATCTTTTACCCTATCTTGACACCCTGGCAGATCCAACTTTCCAATAAGATAATGCCCGACCACATGTTGCAAGAGTCACAATAGACTTCTTTCAACATAATGATGTCACATTGTTACCATGGCCACCAAGATCTCCCGACTTATCCCCAATTGAGCACGTGTGGGATATGATGGGTAGGAGATTGCTCAATTTGCAACGTCCTCCTCAGACTCTAGAAGCACTTCGAGAGGAGTTGGTGGTTGCCTGGAATGAGATACCACAGGAGGACATTGACCACCTGATCAGAAGCATGCCTAGGCGCGTTGGAGAATGCGTAGCACATCAGGGTGCATCCACACATTATTAAAGGTCAAAGGGCTTTAAAGCAGTGCAATCATTTTGAAATTTTTATCATTTACTTATTATGCTTCATTAAGTACTTATACAAAATTTTATTAACATAAAACCATTTAAACTGGGTGTTCGGATTTATATGTCACTTAGTATATTTGGGGAGGAGTTATTGGCAGACAAGTTATCGGGCCTTTCTTTTTCGACAACAGATTAACAGGTACAGAATACTACAACATGACGGCGCACCCGAGCATTATTATAATCGTGTGCGTAACTATTTGGACACCTGAAGTAACAATCGTTGTATCGGTAGTGATGGGCCTATATATTGGCCTCCTAGATCACCATATATGACACCGATGGACTTCTCTCTATTCTTATTTTCATTTATCCAAACACTACGGCTGTGTATTCAACATGGTGGAGATATTTTCGAGCAGGTTTTTGTAGATTAGGTCTGGAGTAGTGATAGTTGTTCGTTTATGTTGTTGTTATAGTTGTTTTTCTTATTTTCCTTAATTTTGGTGTGTTGTTCTATTAAAAGCTTAATAACGCAAAATCTAGTGATTTTATCTGAGTCAAACCTTATACCAAAAAAAGGCTTGTAAAAAATTTAATCCAAACTTGCACAAATATACAGGGTGATGCTTTGAAATTTTTTAGAAAAAGTACAATTCGCGTTTTGACCACCCTGTATGAGCAAAAATGAGAATCCGAAAAAGTAATAAATAAGGTAAAAGCTGAGGTGTGTAAGTTTTTTTTATACAAAATTCAGCACTCCAAATTTCAAAATGGCGGATTTAGGGGTTGCCGAAGTGGACGGTTTTTCTGGACAAAACACCTCACATCTCAGTAGCTAATTACCACAACCCGATAGTGTGTCATATCAATGTTCTTCTTTTGAATTGGTTTATCGAAATATGCAATAACATTTGAGGCGTTGCATTTAAAAAATCACAGCTTTGATATGTATTTCAAAATTGGGACACCCTGTATAATTGCCAATATTTTAGAAATGTGCCCTCAAATGTCATGTATAAGATGCCATGTATAGATTTTCCCAAAATGTATTTATTCACGAGTAATATTCCGTCCACACATGGATGGGCCACCCTGTATATTTGGTGTTTTCTTACTTTTGTCTGATGGTTTTGTATTTGTGGCTTCTTTTAAGAGTCTCTTCAAATTTACGTTTTTGTTGTTTGTTTTAAGAGTGTTTTAAGAATCTTTTTACATAATAATATGTACTAGAATGAAAGTCATTCTTTTTTAAATTCGTTTAGGTTAATGTAGTTTTAAGTAAGTCATATTTAATTTCATGTTTATTGTTACGTTTCTAAGCTTTCAAATATATTTGGTGTTTTATTACTTTTGTCTGTTTATATTTATGTTTGTTTTTAAAAGTAAAGCCTTAAAAATTTCTAGTGACTTTTATTTTTTGAACCTGGTAACATTGTTACTAAGTGATGAATGTTAAGCGGAGCGTGGCGGGGGTGCGCGCGGATTTCATGTTGTGACTTGTGGAAACTTGTATAAACTGCGATTGACGACGCCGGGTTTTGAAACAGCGGTTGACAGAATAAGTGAATATGATATTTAATTTCTAATTTTATGCGAGTAAATTAAACATTACATTGTAATGTTATTTATTCATTTTGTTTGTTTTTTCTTTCTAAAATGCAAACGCTTTAACCCCCCCCCTTGACATCTCTCTATGGCCACCTTGGGAGGAGCGCCCCCTGATTGGGTAGAGTGACATACCTATTTCACTTTTGAAGTTCAAAATATCGCGTAGTCAGAAAATAGTCGAGAAGTAAAATTTGTGAAATACAAGATTTGTTTTGTACCATTTTAAAGGTTCGATCCTCTTAGCATGGAATAAAAAACATTTTGGATGTCTAAACTTTGGCGTCTTCTCTTTTTGAGTTAAATATTTAATCTACTTGAGAGTATCTTTCGCGGTTTTCCAAACAATCAAACGATTGCTTATTATGACACCACTGCATATTTTTCCTGAATGTTCAAGGGGAAAGAAGCGAAACTGTCACTGAGCACTGGAGAGACGCGGAGCGAAGCGACGTGTCCCGTTTGATGTGCGCAAATGTCAAAGGTCGCTTCCCTCCTCATCGCTTCGCCTCAGTCCGCGTGCAAGTTTAATCTAACAACCTAGTGGATTTCCGAGATGCAGAAATCATAGAATATCCCAAAAACATTTCTGAAAATGAAAATGCATTGATGAATCAACCAACTCGTGAACTGAAAGAAATGTTTACGGTGAAAAGTATCGATCTAAACATTGTATAATTAAAAACTTTGCTACCTAAAATTGATTTATTTTTATCCGTTTCTATACTTGTGAATCAAGAATGTTTTATCGCGTAAAGTAAATGCTAGGTTAACGACGCGATTATCTAAGCTCACTGTTGTGTGTTGTATATTGAATTAGTTTAATGAGATTGACCACTTACAGCAGATGGTATCAATCCTTGTCAATCCTTGAACGACCATGATCTCTTGTGTATTGTTTGCTATTTTTAGTTTTATAAATACTTCGTATGCTCAACAGTCATTAAGTTTGAACGGAAAATGGGAGTTATGCGACTCAAAAAGTAGTAAGTATAAAAAATATAGTAATTATGTTGACAATCTGCTATTGAAAATAACTAAAATGTTGTACCCAAACTACCACAAAATGTAATATTTTAAGCGTATAATTTCAGTTAACTATCAATACTTGTTTCTGTCGTCTGTAAGCAAATTCGAACAGAACAAAATACTCTGATTATACCTCAATTAATAGAGTAAAATAATACAGCATAAGGCAAATGACAGATGATCGGTATTTACTGTGGATGTACCATCAGTATTTATTGATCATTTCGTCAGTGTCAATGAATTCCAACGTATGTACATCAATAAATTACTGACGTCCTGGCTAGACAGTCAACACAAATTCCATTCTATGATAAATACTGACGGATCGAGTGAATACTGCCAAAGCATCATAACAGCTATTTGAGTATGTGGCCTTCTGATGAGTGACATCATTTTTAGCTTACAAAAACCTAATAGGCAATGTACCAGGTGGTATTTACAGCGACCTAATGAGCAACAAAGTTCTTGGTGATATTTTCTCTGGGTACATGGATGATACAACTAAGTGGGTTCCACGTCAGGAATGGATTTATACGAAAAATTTTACTGGTAAGTAGTACCCTTAAGGAAGTCATTTTTTAGATTATTTTTCTTTTTAGTAACCGAGGAATTATTGAATTTTGAAAACATCAACTTGATGTTTGATGGGTTGGATACCTTTGCCGACGTATATCTCAATGGCGAGAGAATTGGGCAAAGTAGAAATATGTTTGTTCAATATACTTTTGACATAGCACACAAATTAAAGGTAAGTTTATAGGAATAAACTCACTTCAATATGACCGTTGATTAATGTATTCTACCTGGAGATAGCCAAGAACATATTCTATTTCAGGGTACAAAAAGGGATCTGAAAGATCTACGCTATAAAAATGAATTTAGAAGTCGAATTTGAGAAGAATTAGACTGTTTCGTTGTGCTACTATCTCATAGATGAAGCTAGGAACTTAAATTCGTTAATTAATGCCCATTCCACGTGACAACCAATTAAAATAATCATTAGAGAGGTGCCAAAAAGAGACTAAAGATCCTAGTTCCATATATGAGACAGTAGCATCACCAAACACTCTAAATCTTTTTAAAGTAGACTTCTAAATTCATTTTTTGTGTAGCTTCTGTCTCATATATGGCGTTGACCTTTCGGATCCATTTTGAACGTCGGAATACAGTGTATGGTTGGCTATCTTCGGACAGACTGCGTTAATCAATGTCATTATGAAATATCAGTAATATTTGAGATAATAGTATGTTATGTCATACGTTGAGTTAATTCCTTTTTGGATATGTTCTTAGGTTGGCGAAAACATAATAAAAGTCCACTTTAAGTCACCGGTTAAAGTAAGCGAAGATCTAGCTGAAAAACAAAGTCAATCTTATGTAATACCGCCAGTATGTCCACCAAACGAATACCATGGAGAATGTAGTGTCAACATGATCAGAAAGATGCAAGCTTCTTATGCGTGGGACTGGGGTCCATCCTTTCCATCTGTGGGCATCTGGTAAAGAAATATTTTTTGACAGATACTTTCATGATTTATGAGTCAGGATAGCTCGTAGAACAAAATCAGATTAACAGTCGTAGCTTCTCTCAAGAATTAATTAAATAAAAAACGTTGTGTTTGTAGCACCTACAAGATTTTATATGGTGCTTTTCAAAAATGATGCCCCCCGCACTGTAATTTCTGTTTTCTGAACTGGTCAAATTAGCAAGCCTTGAAATGATGAAATTTAGGGTCATATCGTCAGTGGTTCCTACAATTGTAGGACGCATTTATGGCCTCCTTGATTTTCACAGTTTTTCCAGTCCTTCAGAAAGGCAGGGGGATGTCTAGATTTCTACTGTTCCGTGTCAGCGCTCTATTTTGAGGTTAGGTATTCTTTTTGAATTCTAAGAAAACATAACCTCATAATAGGAGAGCGCTGTCGCTGACACGGAACAGTAGCAATCTAGAAACATCCCAACCCTTCCGAAGGAGAGAAAAAAACTAGGAAAATCAATGAGGTCATAAAGGCGTCCTACAACTGTAGGAAAGACGATGCGGCCCTTATGCATGAATACTATATTTTTGAATACAAGTGACATTTGTTAACTTGGAGACGACGAATGAGCGTCATCTTAAAAGAAAATAAATGGATTGGGAGGTCATGCGATATGACATTTTGACGCTTGTTATGAATTCTTTATAACCCTGAAGTATAAATGTAATATCATTCTGAAAAAAAGTTGAGCGTTTTTTTTTCATTTTGAGTCGCTTATACTCAACAACCAATGATCAAAACTCGTAGGTCTTCTTCTTTTGGAGTGGTATAACGGAATCTTCAATATAATATATGGGACATTTAGTTCAAAAAACCTGACAGATTTTGACATTTATTTTTAAATGGGACGTTTCATCAATATTAAATATTCAGATAGATCTTTCAAAGAAGATTGACCGTTTTGATGATTTGTTGTTGAGATTAAATGTAAAAAACGCACTGTCGCCATTTTGAATTTTTCAACTGTTGCTGTTTCGCTAAAATGTGGTATTCATGCATCAGTTTCATCACACAGAATGTCTGAAAGCACTGTATCAAGTAATATTGAGATGTTTTAGGAAAGCCGTGTACATAGAAGCTTTTAATTGTTCAGTCATACGTCATGTGGTAAAAGACGTTGTAGAAGACGATAAAAACGATGTTTGGATTTTGAATGTCGATGTATACCTAGCACCTAGCAAAACGACTATTGCAAGTGGGAAAATCGAATTTTCCATTAAACTGAACAATGAAGCTGTTACTAAAGTTGTTGATGTTCCAGAGAATTCGATGGTTGTGTCAGCTGTTATTGAGGTTCCTAAGGTAAGCTAAAAAAACAAGGAAAATGTTTACTAGACATTTTGTACTTTTTTTATGAATATATATTTCAAGAATATTGTAGGGCAGTGTCCACCCCTGGTGGCCCAACGGATATGGAGCTCATGACTTATACCTTTTAAAAGTTAGATATTCTGCAGAAAATGAAAGAGAAGTCAGCATAAAAGAAGTGCGAGTTGGCTTCAGGACCGTTGAACTAGTACAAGATCCAGTAGGTAAGTTAACTGTAAAATATTTTAATATGGCACATAGCACCAGATGTGAGGATTTTATTCTTTTAAAGTTACGTCACCTACACTACTCAAAAAAATTGAAAGCAACAAAAAAAGTTTTCGATGATATTTAACAGCCTGTATTTCGGTGGAAAGTGGTCGTCTCTAGGCTTTAGAAAACCGTTTTTGAAGCTTCCAGATTTTAGTTTTTAGATTTTATAGCCGATCAATTTTAGAAACAACGGTTCTCATGCAATGTTCGCATAAGAAATTTTTTTTGCAAAATTTCTGCGTCTTTCGTTTCACCGACATGAAAACATTTTCTTTGTTAGGCCATCATACAAATATTCGATACGATCCTTTGGCGCGGACATAACTGCCTTTGGACGAAAATGGATCCTTTTGTCATCGATGACTGATATTTCGGTAACTAGAGAATGAAAGGGTATTTCCGAAAGCTGAAATAAAACATAATTTTTTTTAATGGAAGATGTTACAAATCGTGGGAGCAAAAGAAAAAAAATTATTTTTCCATTTTCAACCAGATTACATGATGTTTTGATACAATTTTGCACCTTTGATTTCTTTCAAATTTTTACCATTTTTTATTGCGTTGCCCTTAATATTTTTCGACTAAAAAACCTAAAAACTAAAATCTTAGAGCTTCAACATGCTTTTTCTAAAGTCCCGATACGACCATTTTTCACCGAAATACAGCCTTCCAAAGATCACCAAAAAATTTGGATTTTTTTCTTGCTCCTTAATATTTTTTGATTAGTGTAGATATAGATGTGTGGATTTCGCTACAGAACTTATTGTTCATCTCATTTTGCCTAACGCGCATAAGTATAGCGGTTTCATTTTGGCTTACTTCACAACGTGTGGTTTTTTGCATCAACGATATTCTTTGGAATGAAACTTAAGGTTTGTTGTTAAGGAGCACACCCACGAGAGAACATCCACGGAAGATCAATATTGTAGTGTCAATGTAATTATCACCAAAGCACTTTTGTGGAAGCAGCACAGGAAGTTGATCGATGGTGACCGTTTCAATGTAATAAATGGCTTCATCTTGATCAAAAGAAAATGGTCTAATGGCAGCGAGGTCCAATTTCGCTTCAATTGTCTGTTGAAAAACTAACCTAACTAGAACCATCTACTTTTAGCTTCCCAGATTATCCCACATTATTTGCTTGGCCACTGCGCTCACTAGATATGATAACCGTTGACTTTTCCTATGGGGAAGAGCAAAGTTCACATTCAATACTTCCATGTATATCACTGACTCAAGAAAATATCCGTTAAGATATTTTTCTCTGAAATGTCCAAATTCAAATTGACTTTATTATTATCGCTCCATCAACAGGCACGAGTTTGCTATGCTTAACACACTTTCGAATTAATAATGACATATGTTTTGTATATTTCTGACATTACTACGTGTACTTATATGAATGTAGGAGTATCAGTGTCAGTGATCGCTCGGGTAGAGATGTGTTCTAATGAGCGTGATCAATGTGCTATAAATAAAAATATACATGTCGTGTACATGTTCAAATTATAGGCTTTATAAAAAAATCGGAAAATCTCCATAAAATATTCTCTAAAAATCGCGGGTCTTCCCGATGTCTCTGTAACATTGTTTGCCAAAACTCAGCTCTTTTAAGATAATCTCTGGGTTGTAGAGATTGTACTCGCTGTAAGTGGTAAGGGTGGAGTTTGTTCTTTCGCAAAATATGTGGGCTGTACTTTACGACACTCCCGCGCTTGCTTCTATTTGACGTACTGAAGTACTCGGGTGCGCGCTCACAAAAACTTTGTGATCAGGATGACGAGCAGCATTTGCACCTCTCACGATAAAGCCTAGCTGAAGCAGTAGCATTGCATCTAAATTCCTCATAAATGAGGTGCATGTTGGGGTATTTCTGCACGGTGCTCACAGAAATGGTGACAACACACAATCATGAATTAATAAAAGTGGAGTTACTATTTATCTTACTGTGACAACGTGGAATGACTGTCTATCACTCCGTCTAATAAAAAATTGAAATTTGTAATAATGGGAACTAGTTAGGCAGATTTTTCCGTGTTTTAAAGCTCATAATTTGAAAAGTACAGGACTTAGGTTTTTTATATTTGTCTGATACCTATTATAACTTGGCCTATCCCCGTTTCCGACTTGACGTCGACTTCTAAACACTAAAATGTCTTCTGTTGAAGGTAATGGTTACAGCTTCTATTTTAAAGTGAATGACGTCCCAATTTTCATGAAGGGCTCGAACGAAATTCCTGTAGACATTCTACCAGAACGCGGACAGGACAAGAAAAAAATTCGGACGTTGCTAGAAACAGCCAGAGATACCCACATGAACATGTTACGAGTTTGGGGTGGTGGGGTCTATGAATCGGACTATTTCTATGATCTAGCTGATGAAATGGGCATCTTGATTTGGCAAGACTTTATGTTCGCATGTGCGCTCTATCCGAGCAACAACGATTTCTTGGAGTAAGGCATAGTTAACTAAGAAAATGTCAAGTACGCATTCACTATTTTAGACATTAGTGTTTTCGTCAGTATTTTCATTTTCAAATTTTTGGGAATTGAAAACCCGTGATATGATGACAAAAAGTTACAGCCTACTGTAGAATTCAAATGTTAAATCTCCATTTGAATGCCACTCAAGTGTGCGTTACTGTTTGTTTAAGGCCTAAGGCTTGATCAAGCCTCGATCGCTATAATTCGAGTATGATACATCCTATACAGTGAAAGCCATATACCACTGACGTCGTAATGTGTACGAGAGAAAAGCGTGCAGCACGTGTGTTAGAAAAAGATAGAAACACCTCGTTGCCTAGCAACCCGAGTGACGAGACTACGGACGTGATCGGCGCATCCTTTCTAATATACATATTATACGCTTCTCGCACTTCTATGTCGTACACATTAGGACGTCTGCCAAATTCGAACTTCACCGTAGACCTTAGTCTATTGATGGAACATGAGAAGTTTTAGATAGAGCCTATGGAAAACTCGTTTTTCAGAAATGTGTTGGATGAGGTTGACTACCAAGTTAAGCGATTGAGTGGCTATACCAGCATTGCATTATTTGCAGGAAACAATGAAAATGAAGGAGCACTCCGTGATGACTGGCAAGTATTATTTTTGAATCAACATAAAGAATTTTAGACTATAGTGTATTTACACCGAAGATAGAATGGATGCGTGATTGCCAAAAGCAAGGACGGCGTACAGGGCCGCATTCAGGGCTACCTCCGAATGATGGACTACCACCAACGTGTTGTAAAACAAAGATGACAGTATTTAACGAAATTATCTAATATAGTGAATTAGTTATAGTTGAGGGAGTCGCAAAATCAAATTTTTATACTTGAAGGGGTGCACAATGAATCCGAGGGGTAGAGTTGACACTTTTGTACATGGAATAAATATAAGGCTGTTCAATCAATTTAAAATAGATTTTGAAGGTGCACTTCGGACTTGCATTGTCTGTAGTTTATCTGTAAGTTAATATTTCACTATAACTAGGATTCCCATAATATGTATTCTGTGACAAAACAAAAACGCGAGACTTACTCAGACTCACTTGAAGAGCTATCGTCATTAAGGTTTATGATGATGGATTCAAAATCTCTCTCAATTATGTTGTCCAGCTCCCACATTGCTACCTCCACTTTCTCCTGAACATGCTGCACACATTTTTGCCATCTTTCTTGTGTGACCCTCTGTATAGCAATTCTGAACAGCTCTTGCATGTCAGAAAATTTAAATGTATTGTGTGCAGCAACAAAATTCTTAACATCTGCCCGTATGAGCTCAATAGGGTTGAGCTCACAGTGGTAAGGCAGCAAACGGAGTACTGTTTTGTGATGTGCTTTGGCCATTTCATCTATGACATATTTATCATGTCTTGATCTGTGTTGTTTCACAATATCTAATATTTGTAATTTCAGTAAGGAAGGGTCGAAAGTTATATTTTTGGAACGGAGCTAGCTCTGAATGTCTGATTTCCTAGAAGCTGAAGTTGGGATTTTTCTATTTTGCGAGAATGATAGGGAGCATTATCCAAAACCACAGAATTGTTTTCGAGACGTGGTAAAATGCCTGAAAACCACTTCTCGAATGCTTCCCCATTCATCTCTTCATGGTAGTCAGTGTTTTTTTTTTACCCAAAAGACCATAAGCCGTCATCCACGGAGCCATCTACACCCCCAATGTGGCAAATAATGAGCCTTTTTCCTTTGCCTAGAAAGATAAAATCCGCTAAGTACACATGCACGTCTTGTAGGTACGAAGATAGAGATATTGTGCGCAAAAACTGATACCGTGAACTACTTCGATCTATTTACCTGCTGGATTTTTCAATCCGGTCGACAGTCCATCTAGAAATGCTCTTCTGGATGAAGTCACAGTTTTGTCAACCTATATCTTCGGAGTAGTGTGCCCAGCGTTAATCCAGGTTTCGTCCAGGTAATAGATCTTCCTGTGCTGATCCCTGAATGATTTAATTTTGGTCAGGTACTCTCTCCTCCACAGAACAATTTCTTCTCTATCCATAAGTAAGCTGTTACGACCTCGTTTCTTCCATTCGAAATTAAGATGCTTCAAAAGTTTATGAATAGTTGAACGTTTGAAATTTGGTAGCATAGCATCCTCGTTAACCTCCCGTAATCAACTGTCGGTATTTCGTTTCTGAAGAAGAACTCGTGCACTTTCCTCCGAATCGCATGCTTGTCAGGGTCATCCAACGATCTTATGATACTTTTGCGATTTTTACCCGTCATTGGCTTGGAAAAGGCATGCTTTTTCTTATGTTCGTTCAAAACATTGTACACTGTCGCTTGGCATACCCCAATTTTATCTGCCACTTTCAGAGCTATTTTCGGGTTAGTTGATGTTTCGTCTTCCTTCCGCTCTATCTTGAATGTATTCAATATGACGTCTTTCATGTCTACGCTAAGATGTCTTTTTTTTGATCGCTTTCTAGGAGAGCTAAGGGAGTAGCCTACAGCCTCGTCAGCAGTATCTGTACTGGACATGTTCAGGATTGGTTCAAAACAAATAATAACGAGGAATAACAATAACAAACAGAAACTTAACAAATTACTCAAATACACTTAACAACAACAACAGCAACAACCAAGCAAGGTGAATACGAAAATACGAGCACGCAGTGATACACCCGACGGTCGTTGGCCTGAATGCAACTCTGCCTGCCCTGCCCTTGCCCCGAGCATTATTCCGCTAGGCGACCGCTTGAAATTTAATGGCGAATTGACCAATAAAAGGCGTTGTCCCCACCTGTTACCGAGAGATCACGGGCTAACTGTTATTATTTACATCTCATCTTGAATTTGGATTCAGTTTAGTTATCATTTTTTCTACTTGTAGGTATCATGTGAGACAGAATTTCACATTATTCAAAAATGATTACGTAAAACTTTATGTTGACACAATTAAAAATAGGTTTGAGGAAATAACACACAAAAGACGCATTTTTGTGGCTTCTAGTCCCTCAAATGGTAAAAAAACCGAACAGGAAGGTTATGTGTCCAACAACCCTTATGATCAACAATATGGAGATGGTGAGTCATCATCAGTTTTCAACGAAAAAAAAATAACAAATAAATGAATATCAGAAACAGAAACAACACGAAAAGATCAAATAAACAATTATCCTAAATGCTGTATCATTAAGTTATAGTTTCAGGATTAAAAAATATATATCTTCGATGTGGATTGAGGTGTTGACTTGAAATTTTATAACACCATGACCAATAAATACAAACGGTTTTGGTGCTACATCAGTGGGGTAAAATTTGAGTGATTGTCAACTTATAAAACACTTGAATCCTTTCATTGAATTGACAATGCTCTTATTTTGTCCAAGTCAGCCTCATTAGTGTTACAGAAATTTACAGCAGCCTATAGGAACTTTTTATGTATACCTGCTTTAAGAAATATATCTTTTACGTTGGGCCGTTAGGGTGAGTCGGAAACTTGGTTTGACTGACTCTGGTTTTTCACTTAAAATCCGGATACTGTCACTATTGAACTTTCAGTTGGGTATAATTCGGTTTAATTGCCAAGTGACACATGTACGTGGTCGGAATGAGTTTCAGAAGTTACATTATTTAATCCGTAGATTTAATGTTGCATGTCTCAGTTTAAATATTGAGAGAGTTCAAAGCTGGCTTTTATATCATTTTTATGTTCTATCCTAGTTCTGCATCGTTTCTGGCTCTATTACAATTAACCCATTAACGCCCGCTGTACTCAAGCGAGTACACTAGTGTTTGTTCCTATCAGAGCCATCTCTGAGTCAACCACAGAAGTACTGCCTCTTATAAACATTTGTAGATGGTACATGCGACAGGGCGCAAGAGCCATTTTTCATAAATTCTGTGAGTGTGTCGTTGTTGACAGTAATAGAAGTTATTGCTTATTTGATCTAAGGTAAGTTCGGATTTTACATATTTTTTTCTTATCGAGATGACCATCTAATAAACAATCTTTTTATATTGTGTATATGTAAAGGTTGTTTGTTTGATTTGCCGGGCATAAATATTTTAACTGATTTGATGTAATTAGAATGTATGTTCAAATTGACTGTACTCAAATGAGTACACTGGGCAAATTCGTTATCAGTCGACTAATGCAATTTTTTTTGTTTTAGATATGTATAAACTGTTTTTGATGATCCTGTTAAAACATACGAGTATTACAATTTTCTGCCTGATGCTCGAGATGATTTAAAAGATAACGATGATGTTGTGGTCTTGCCTCCAGACGCGCGTTATTTGACTGACGAGGAGGAATTGGACGAAAATCAACTGATGGCAAATGGAATGCCATAAGATGTTTCTGGTCGTTTATAGCTGTTTCGCCAAAGTTCAGCTAATGACGAGTTCTGAAGCAGCGACGAAGAGCATTTGAGTGAAGAGCGAAAACGTATACAAATACCGAAATAAATCTAAACACGATGACTTGGACTGGGAGAAATGCAATCCTGAATATTCCATTTGGTCTGAGCCGCCACCGTTATGTGAAATGAATGCCAATAGGGATAAACTAGTGGAAGAGATAAATGATTTAAATCCAGTACAACTATTTGAACTTTTCTTTGATGATACGGTTTTGCGGCATATTGTCGATGAGTCCATGTTATATGCATCTCAAAATACTCGACACCAAAGAAGAAATGAAATCCTTCATAAATTCGGACATTTTCCTGCGAAGCTAGAGAAGCAATTACGATGTACAGTATGCCACTCAAGGGTTCGTCAACACTACGTATTGAACGTGCCTGCTTCAAGTTACATCATACAAAATAAACGGTTTCGCCCATTGTACTCAAATGAGTACAGATATTTTTTTTGGTAAAAATAATAAAATATATATGGTTTTATGATCTTCAGTTTTTATTTTAGTCCTAATAACCTACCTTATATGCATAATATCCGTTTTCCATGTTCAAGATTAATTTGGGCGTTAATGGGTTTTAATGAATTCTTCATTTCGTTTCCATATACCCACATTTTTATTTTCAGTACATTACTATAACTACGTGTTAAACCCACTGAATGCGAATATTCTTCCAATACCCAGATTCGCATCAGAGTATGGTTTGCAATCGTTGCCAGCACTGGAAACCTGGCTGACAGCTACCTCTAACTATTACGATTTGTTTATCAATAGCGAATTCGTGACACACAGGCAACATCATCCATTGGGCAACGGTGAGATCCTTGCAATGATTAACAGAGAATTCCACTTGCCCCATGCGACTGATCAGAGATACGTTGAGAGCGTCATATACTTTTCGCAGGTTTGGAAATTGTTCTTATTTTGAATAAGTACATTTTATTTCTTTATATCACCCTTACAGTCAACTGGCAGTAATTTGAAACGTGATCATAAACGTGTACGAGGTCTTTTAATTAATGCGACTTTTTTTTAATTATTTTATTTAAATATAATTACAATTTTATATTATCCCCTCAAAATAACTTCCTTCTGATACTGGAATAGCCTTCAGCTGGTCGGTTACAATCGTTTGAATGTTTTCGACTGCCCAAAATGGGGTGATTCTTCAACTTCGGGAAGAGAAAAATGTTTTACTGCCCAAAAACTCGAGGAGCATTATCGTGATGCAACACCTAGTTGTTCTTGATCTGATGAACGGTGGTGTGAGTCAAATTTAACTCTTCCCCGATAATTCTGACTGTCAACCGACGATCTGAACGTTCATGATCCCGAAATGTCGATATTTTCATCGGTTCTTGAATATGAAGGCCCTCCGTCTTCGTGGGTCATCTTCAGTCGACTCTCTCCCTTCTGAAAGTGCCTTAAACCACCGAAAAACCTTGGCTTTTGACAAAACACTATCTTCGTAGGCCTGTTTAGCGAGGGTTTCCGTTGCACTGTGCCCAAGTCTGAAGCAAAACCTGATAGGACACCGTTGCTTAAAATTGACGTTACTGTCATTTTGAGAATACAGTAGAAAAAACTGTTGCACAAAAAAATTGCTGCGGACAACCAAATGCTTCGAGCGAGTTCAAACTTGTAGTGAAAGCGGATCGTATGTTCCCATATCTCCCCTCCAAACCATGCGCCCCCAGTATTGTTACTTTGACACTCTCGTCACTTAATTTACAGACCTTGTACGAGGATAAGGTGAAAAGTTGTCGGCCTGACGCAAACATCGCGCTCCAATCAACGAAATTTTATTATTCCTGTATGGTTTCACGTATCAAGTTTCAGCTTGTTCTCTCAATTAGTTTGTCTACACGAATTTTTGAAGTGAACCTCTTGCATGGTTTAGATTAAAATGGATTATCTTGAATATCGTGCTATCATCAACTTGTTCATGTCTGGAGGATTGATTCCCCCAAACTTAACCAGAGTTTAAGAGAACTCGGCTCATTCGATTTCAGTTCTTAAAGTTCGCAGCTGAACTTAACCACACCTGAAACCATCGAAAATGGACGATAGGCATATGAAGGTTAGTAAGACAGTTGAGGTTGTGGAGATATCGGAAGGGTGCTACATTTTGCACAAAGAACTGTGGATGAGAAGGCTCAGCGGAAGGTGGGTCCCCCTTTGCTAAATGTCGATAAAAAGCCATGCAGCATTACAGTGGATGGGAAGAGTTTAGCACTGAATGCCAGAAACAAAGCAGCGATCGAAGCAGTGGTGGTTTTAGGATACGAAATGAATTCTATTACTTCGTTACCTCGAAAATGGTGGATCAATTGAGGGAAATTACTACTGCAACCTCCTTTATCAACTTTGTCTCAAAATTGCCGATAAGATGTCTGGTTCGAAAAAGGATAGGATAACTCACCTGCTCACAAACGTGTGCTAACAACGATAAATCATATTTTACTGAAAATCACAGTCGTTCGGCGACAGGCAAGACTTTCCACCCTACCCTCGTACAAGGTAGATTAATTTTTAATCATTAAAAAAGGCAAGTGTAAAATGGAAAACTTTGTTTTAGCTAATACAAGCCCTGGCCACAAAAGTACAGACAGAATACTACAGGCTTCACAGAAGTGTAATCCACCAAGACGGGCGAGGGAATACTATGGGCGCCCTCTATTGGCAACTGAACGATGTTTGGGTTGCTCCAACTTGGTCGGGAGTCGGTAATAATCAACGAATTCAAATATATTAGAAAGAGCCAAGCATATATCTTAAATCATTAGATTTAGAAATAACTTTTTTAAAAAATTTTATTTGAGGACTGAAGCTTCAGTCCATATAAAATACAAAAGGTTTACAAATGTGACATTTACGGAGTCTAACCTGGTATTGAACATAAAGTTTACATAAGTGACTGTTACGGTGCCTAGCCGGGTAATGAACGACATGAAATGGGCGCAAGGCCTATTTATACTATTGGTGTGCTTACAAAGCACGTCTAGAAAATAAAGCGTAAACAACGAGTTAGCGAGAAGTCGTTATCTGTTGCTGAGCTAGCGTCTGGTGCAACATTGTATGGAATAGTAAGTCCATTGTTTTGAGTGCATATAACAACTTCCCCCTATTACAAAAAGTTGTTGCCATGCGACAACTTTTGACAAAATTAGAAAAGTGTAAAAGATGTAAAAATTCAAAAATGTAGAAATGTAGAAATGTAAATTGTAAACATTGTAAAATATAAAAATATAAAAGTAGGAGTAATAAAATTGCAAAATAACATCAAAAAATATAGATTCTGAAAAATAAAATTGTTAGCATAAATGCGGTACATTGGCGATGCAAAATAACATCTAAAAGCAAGGCTGGAACAAACAAATAATAAGATACAATCGTACAGTCGTACGGGCAAAATTACATGGAAGATAACACGAAAATTGGAAATGTCTTTTTGAACAGTGAAAACACTTCACGGAACACTCACTGCAGTTCGATGTCTTCTTCATGTGGCTGGATGGTTGGTCTACGTCGAGGAAAAAGTCTGGGAATGTACCGGACTTTTGGTGCTCCTGGAGATGGACCATCGGCTGGATAATTTGATGCGCAGATGCTGAGTGGTCTACGTTTTCTGCACTTGGAGAACAGGTACAAAGCTACGATGATAACTAACAGGGTGATGATGAAATACGTGAACCATGAGAGATGTCTTGAAACAAACGGCTCGTTCATAATTTTGTCCAGTTGTTCAGAATATTGGTTTAATTTGTGATTGGCAATTTCGAGTTCTTCAGTATCGATCTTGCTTAGCTTGATCGGTTTTAATTTTGGTAAATTTTGTTTCTCTGGGAGATGTTCACAGCATTTGTAGGGTACTTCTACAGGGTGACTTTTGTATGTGATATTCTTGCAGGTGCTAACAGAATATCTAGAATGTAATCTCGTGGTGCCTATAAAGCCACTGCATTCGGGTTGCATTTTTAAAAGTGAATTAACTTTTATCACTTTGGTGGTAGTCTCTCGTTGTCCACGCTTCATCGTAATTGGCAGAGGGCTAGATATGGTGATTAGCCAAAAATTGGTTGCAAGTTCTTGGATTTGGTAATCTTGCAATGCCACAATTGCTATTTGGCAGGCTGTCGGCAGATCGACCGGATTTCGCAACAACTGTGCTTCGCAGACTGCATTACTGTCTATTGGATACGGCAAGAGGTTGAAACAGATTTTCACCTGAGACTGAAGAACTTTACAACTACCTAAGTTTTGAAAGGAAACGTACAAAAGAGAATCGCTATCTTTAGCAATGTACCTCTGTATAGTGGAGACTACATGAAACAAACCAGTACGTTTATCGAGAATGGGTAGAGGAATCACTCTGTATAAAGTATACATTTCGGGCTCTAATAACGGGATGCGTAGAACGAATACTACTCTTGTTTTAGTTTGATATGCTTCGAGTTCCATAAGATTAAGGTACTCTGACACTGTTGCTAAATTAACCGGAAGGGGTAAATTATTTCTCGACAAAGTGTGAGAAATTTCTTGAAGAGAATTTACTAAGTCTTGAGGAGTGATAATAGAAGGATGTATTATTTTTAAACGTGCAAAAGTAATTGAATTTAGAATATCATTAATTGTCTCTTCCAGAAACATGTAGCTTTCCATTAATTGTTCGCAAACTTCTAAAAATTGGAATTTAGCTTCATAAAATGCAAGATCTTCTGAAATTTCATAAATTTTGTTTTCAATGACTTTAATATCTTCATTAAACGTAGTTTCATCAATCATAAGTTTTTGAATAGTGTTATTAAAATTCTTGATAACCGACATGGTAACAGAAATTTGGTTCTTCATGAGGTTTTCGAGCTCATGTTCATCTTTAGAAATTTTGTTAATACAATCGTTATAGTATTCACCGTCCGATGAATCGAGGTTGCCGGTTATTGCTTTCCATACAGTACCTATAGCGTTAATCAGACCGCGTTTCATCCGCGATGCGCTTACAGTGTCATCGAAGATTGCGTAATATTTAGATTCCAAGGAACGAGAAATTTGATAAAGGAGACTTGTATGAGTTTTAATTTCACCACTAAACATTTTCATACGATTGGTGGGTTTGTCTACGAGATATGATAAGTGTTCCAGAATATTGTTGTTATCGTCAAGTGCTTTCTTAATGAGTTCTAAGTCTTTATATACAAGGAGTGTCCAAATGTCGTTGGAAATCTTAAGAGGGGCGTCTTCATGAAAATAGATACCTAAGGTGTTGTTAAGCGGTTTGATGTCTATCTGGGCTGTGACAGCCGCAAGAAACAGCAGACTGCACCTGAAAGAGAAACTAAGTCTCAAAACATAGTTTCAGTCTGTCAAAATTAACTTTACTTATTCTATTTGTTTCCGGGTTCTTAAGGAGCGCAGAATTTTCAAAAACTTGAGTAATTTCGAATGGACCATCAGATTTGTTCTGAAGTTTGTTTGAAATTTGAGACTGTTTCACAAATACTTTATCGCCAATTTTATATGATTGTAAATTTCTACTATCAAAGCGAATTTTTGCTTTTTGCTTCTTTTCGTCAGTTCTCACGCGGGCAATTTTGTAGTAATATTCGAGTTTATTCCGAATGTCTCGAACATACTTGGACATCAATTCTTTTTCTAAATGTACGTGTTCGGGCGGACGACCAGAGGTGTGGCCAAACACGAGCTCGTATGGTGTAAAGCCAGTGGTTTTATTTCTAGTGCTATTGTAGCACTGAACAGCATAGGGAAGAATATTGAAGGGATGTTCGTCGGGATTAGGAGTTTTGGTGACGTTTTGGCAAACGACAAGTTTGATATTATCATCCGAAAAAATAAAAGAGAAAATTTCTAAAATGGGTAAGTCCAAATTATTTTTAACGTAGATTTGTTGGGATAGGTCGAATACACCTTTGTTGGTTAAAATTACAGAGAAAAGATGCTGTATGCAAGTTACGGGATCGTACGGCACAGGAATAATATAGTATTTCCTATCTTTAATTGTTTTGCTAGACGCGATGTTAATTTTATCTGCAGAAAAATCAAGATTTTCCTCGAATATGTCTTCGATAATTTTTTCGTGAAGATCAGATAGAGTGTTTTGTCTGAAAAACGTGACGATATGTTTATGACTTTTGTCTAGGAGTTGGGAATTTGAAAATTGAATTTTGGAATAATCGATCAGGGATGTGGTTTTGTAAAGGCGGGCAAAGATATCAAATTCACTTTCGGAAAATTGGGTAGAAGGTTCTCCTTCTTCGTCACTGTGGGTAAGGGCATTAACAGTTTTGGATAATTTGATACGTGATAGGGCATCGGCATTTTTATTAGCCTTGCCTGGCTTGTACACTATTTCATAGTCGTACTCCTCTAGCTTGAGGCGCCATCTTGCTAATCCACTTCCGGTGTCTCGGCAAGAGAAAAGCCACGTAAGGGGTCTATGGTCTGTTAAGAGTTTAAACTTTCGACCATACAAATAAGGTCTAAAATGTTTTACACTCCAGAAAATAGCTAGAAGTTCTCTTTCAATGGTGGAATATCTCGTTTCTGCTTTACAAAGTGTACGAGATGCATAGGCTATCGGGAGATCTTTACCTATGGGACCTTGGGAAAGAACGCCAGATATCGCAAAAGCGCTTGCGTCTGTTGTAAGCACAAAAGGCTCTTCAAAGTTGGGGTAGATCAGTATAGGAGATGTTGTTAAAGCATTTTTTAAAGTATCAAATGACTTAACACACTCGCTATCAAAGTCAAATACTGCGTCTTTCTGTAATAGTCTGGTAAGGGGTTTCGCAATTTTGGCAAAGTTTGGTATAAAGCGTCGGTAGTAACCTGCAAGACCTAAGAAAGATTTTATTTCTTTAGGATTCTTGGGTTGAGGGAAATCTTTTATGCAATCCACTTTATCTGGATTGGGCTTAACGCCATCAGGAGTTATTAAATGACCAAGATAGGCTACTTCCTTTCTGAGGAATTCGCACTTGTCAGGCTGGATTTTGAAATTCGACTTCCGAAGACGCGTAAAAATTTCGGTAAGCCTACTGATGTGTTCTTGGATGGAGGGGGAATAGACAATTATGTCATCCATGTATACAAGACATCTTTCGTTTTGTATACCCATCAAGATGTTGTCCATGACACGTTGAAACGTGGCAGGAGCGTTCTTGAGACCAAAAGGCATCCTCAAGAATTGGTAATGTCCGTTTTCAACTGAAAATGCAGTTTTAGGAACATCAACTGGATTTATCTCGATTTGATGAAATCCAGATGCCAAGTCCAGTGTACTAAAGTACTGGCATTTCCCTAATTGATCAAGTAGATCGGAAATGTTTGGCAAGGGATATTTATCATCGATGGTGATTTCGTTAAGCTTACGATAGTCAATCACCATACGCCATTTCTGTTTACCAGAGGCGTCCATTTTCTTTGGTACAACCCACACCGCAGAATTCCATGGCGATGTGCTAGGTTCGATAATACCTTGTTTTAGTAATTTCGAAATTTGATCTTTGACTTCTTGCTTGTGGACATAAGGGTATCGGTAGGATTTGGTAAAAATTGGTTTACTGGTAGTGGTATCAATGGAATGCTTAATTTCGTTTGTAAATGACAGGCTATCACCATCTAAGTAGAATATGTCCGAAAAATCTAAGCAAAGATTCGTAATTAAGTCTTTTTCCTCTTCGTTGAGATGATCGAGACGTAATTGATCTCTAATAACATCTCTACGGTTATACTGACTTTGATTTTGTAAAGAAGTGTTGAAATTATTGATAGAAGTTTCGTTAAAGGGCTCGAAAGTTAATTGGGGTAAAATTACATTTTTTGGAATGGCATTACAGTTTAATACTGTAGTAAGGAATTCGCCTTTAGAATCAATTTTAACTATGGAACTGGGTAGACGGACTTTTTCTACCTCACACGCCAGAAGAATGGCTTCAGTATTTCTAAGCTCGGATTTGAGCTTGACAACTTGTTCAACTCTGGGAGGAATGGAAATAACATTTTGAACTTGAGAATTTTCTTTAAATTGCGAAGCTTGGGACTTTTCTTTAAATTGAGAAGCTTTGGAATTATTTTCGTCACCTACTTTGAAAAGAGGGACTGTTTTGAAATTTGTAATCAATTGACGATTTTTCAAATCAATAATACAATCATAATGTTCAAGAAAATCTGACCCAAGAAGGCCATCGAATGAAATATCTAGATCATGGACATAAATTTTGTGATAATCATTGGGAGCAAATGGGACTAAGACTGCTTCAGTAATACTAATTTTTTCGTCAGTAATACCTCGGATAGAGATATTTTCTGCGACACGATTAGTATAATTTTGACAAGTGTTACGTTTGAAAATGGAGCAACCTGCACCACTGTCAATGAGAATTTTGAATTTTCCAGTAGCATCTTTAATGTAATATAAGTTGTCTGGGCTAACTGGGTGAATTGTCGACGGGACTATAAACGGAGGGTTTATATGAACATCTGATCGCATGTGTTGCTGACGCTCGCACACGGTTTCGCGTTCGGGTCCTCGACACTGAGATTCGCTAAGTTCACCAACAAATGTATCGGCGGTTTGATTATATTCGTAACAATAATCGTTACTGGGTTCTCTAAAATCATCGTATGGGGAAGGTGTGTAGACGGAGTACTGGGTATCGTCATATTCATTAGCGTAGTCCGTGTTGTATAGGTCTGGTTCACCGTAGTCGGAATAATCGTAAGAATCAGGGGCGACATAATTAATTCGATTGGGAGGATTTTGTCTAAAATTTCTTTGAAAATTAGGGTTTTGGAAATTTGGATTGCTCTGAATTACAGAGGGTCTTGGCGCACTCGCGTTAGGCGCATTTGGTCGTATTACAGATGGTCTGGGAGGAAATTGATTAGAATTTTGATGGTAGTTAGATGTAGATGGTCTAACTTGCATAGGTTGATTCGGCCTAGGGTAATTTTGAGGTTGGGGCTGGTTAAACTGTCTTGGGGCAAAGCTTGTAGGCTGTTGTCTCCGTTGGCATTCATTTGCTAAGTGACCGGGACGATTACAAAAATTACAAATTTTAGGGTTTGGTCTTCGAATAACTGAATTTTGATTCGGGTTTGGGGCCCTGGCGAATTTTTGTCGTTCCAAATATGAAAGTTGTAACTCTCGTTTGATATACGAAACTGCGGTCAAGATATCCGTGGGATGTCCTGATCGCACAACAGGTCCTATTTTTGAGTCTAATCCTGTTAATAGACAATTTAATGTCATCGTTTCGATGAGGGAACTTTGAGCAGATTTTTGCTCGCGATTTAGATTTTGTCTATTCACGGCGGAATGCATTTTGGCTGCATGCGTCTGCAGTCTAGATGCAAAGGTTAGGGGTGATTCGTTAGGGAGTTGGCGCATGTGTTGAAGATCCGCGATTAAAGATGTGAGATCTCTAAGATCTCCAAAGTGCGTTTCTAACAGGGACCATATGTCTTCCCACGTAGAAGGATTTCGGCTATTCACAAGTTCGGCGGCACGTCCGCGAAGTTTGTTTTTAATATGTAAAACGACGAGAAGCCGCTGCTCCTCGACGGCCATTTGATATGCCGTTCGGCATGCGTTGATGAAGGTCGATAGCAATATCGGGTTTCCATCGTACTCGGGTACAATCGAAAATATTTCAGATAATCTATAAGGTTCAATGTTCGCATGAACGTTATCAGGAATTTCAGCTGGTTGGTAATCATCTGAACCGTTAGTAGACATTTTAAATGGAAAGTTGTTTCAAAAAGATTCAATAGTGTCAAGGGAAAATGCAAAAAGATATAAATGTAAAATAGAAAAATACGTAAAAATGGGGAAAAATACGTGAAAATCGAGTAAATGCGCAAAAATGCAAATAAAAAGATGTAGCAATCACACACACAGAGATAAATCGCAAAAAATAGTTAGATTAAAATTGTACGTTACCAAGGGTACATCGGGAGGCAGTCGTGTTCTCCAGGCGGCTAGTGGATCTCTTGCGATGTTTCCAGTAGTCTGTCTGCAGTTGGGTGGCTGCTGCTCGCTGTGTCCCCTGTTGTTTTCTTTCTTCTTGTTGCTTTGTAGTTTCTTACTTGTAGTTTTCCTACTTGTAGGTTTCTTTCTTCTTAAGGCTCGTTGGTCCTTTTCAGCTTAAAGGATAGGCATCCACCACACTAGTTAGTATGCACGTGTTCTAATGCGTTGAAGCTATCCCACTTCTCTGACACCAATTTCTTAAATCATTAGATTTAGAAATAACTTTTTAAAAAATTTTATTTGAGGACTGAAGCTTCAGTCCATATAAAATACAAAAGGTTACAAATGTGACATTTACGGAGTCTAACCTGGTATTGAACATAAAGTTTACATAAGTGACTGTTACGGTGCCTAGCCGGGTAATGAACGACATGAAATGGGCGCAAGGCCTATTTATACTATTGGTGTGCTTACAAAGCACGTCTAGAAAATAAAGCGTAAACAACGAGTTAGCGAGAAGTCGTTATCTGTTGCTGAGCTAGCGTCTGGTGCAACATTGTATGGAATAGTAAGTCCATTGTTTTGAGTGCATATAACATATATGTTTATTAGGCTGACAACCGCTCTTTGCAAATTATGCAAGAAGTACATTTCCAGAAATCGTGTAACAACACAATTACCTGCAAACATTAGCACTTCTATAAAACATAACACTAAAAGTACGAGTTTAATGATAGACCTGTCAAAAACATAACTTATGTCAAGTCTACTTGTATAGTATGCACTTTCATCCTGACTACAGCCGGAGATTTTGGAGACAGACAAACCAGAAGTTTGCTCCTTCTGTACCCTATTTCACGAGTATCCAACACGATAGAATGACAGCCGATTATCTAGTAATATCTCAAAATTCCCAATATCGGCACAGGACACAAAATTCTGACGGATCCGTCGACACCAGGTAGGAAGAGCCGTATTTTGTTCTCGTTTTTGTACGATACATATTCGTTTTGTACTTGCAACAGCTCTTTTATTTAGAAAAGCTCATTTGCACATAAAAAACAAAAGGCTACAAACAAATTTTACTAGATTTATATCCGATTCCGCGTTGCAGACTAACACAAAAATGTCACTTGCTGATCAGCTGTTCACCTCAGCAGACTTGCGTGATGGATACTCGTGAAATAGGGTATACGTAGTCTGAATGCGTAATAATTATGATTAACTTGACTCTTTGAAGTTTATATATACAGGGGGTGTCTCACGTAGAACAGCAGCGATCGATTATTCAAATGTTGACGTAAGGTTGACGAATATTTGGGTTTATAGCCTAAAAGATGGCAGCAATTCGGAAAAAAGAATTTAAAATGTTGACACTTCCCTGTTTCTGAGCTTTAGCCGTAAACGTAAGAAGTCAAAGATCCTAATAACTCTATTTCAGAAATTCGGAACTTTCCATATTTGCGTCTTGAATTAAAAACTAGCCGCTTGGGAAGTCAAACTCTCTTAACTGTAACAAGGCCTGTTTCAAATAGTTTCGCTTTTCAGATTTCACTGGTAAATGGAAAATTCTGCAGTACAATGCTCAAGGTTTTTTCGCACCTTTAATAATCACTGGTTTTATCAACATTCAGAATCAACTGCAAGTTTACGTAGTTTCTGATTTACTGGTGAACACGTTCTCCCTAACAGCCAGCATAAAAGTTTTCAACTGGAGTGACTTAACACCTGCAGTAGAGCGTAATGTATCTGTGGATATGGTGAGTTAATCAACATCATCAGTTAATATAATTTAAAAGTTATTCAATTCACTCTCAAATAGTATTCGTTTGATAATATCATGAGCATGACCCATAACTACAAACTTTTGTTGATTCTTTAGAACTCAACGAGTCTTATATTCTTTTTCAGGACTCTGGTTCTTCAAAACTGATTATGTCAGCAGGTATTCACGATCTTCTAGGTAATGCCAAATGTGGCTCTGGTTCAACAGCTACTCAAAACTGTTTCTTTCATCTATCCTTGTACAAATCTGGAGCTCAGGTAGCTCCTGATAACTTTGTTATTCCAACAAACATACGCAACTGTAATCTGCAGAATCCTAATCTAAAGGTAGGTATGGTAAGTCCAGTAAAGGCTCGAAATAGGGAATTATGTACACTGAGCTAAGCTAAGGAGCTTAATTAAGCCAAGCCTAAATATGCCGTTACGTCCTGAGACAGCAACAGTGACATAACACTGCATAGCACTGATAACAGAAAATCTGTCACTGCGAAATATTCAAATTCAAATGTGTATGAAAATGCAATAAGATACGCATATCCCTTTTATTCCTCAACGTACCTCTTCACATTTCAATATTTCACAGTGAAATCAAAGCGAAGGTATACGCTGTTCGGCATGCATTACAGTTTACCTGATTTACCACATTTTACAACAAAAACCCAGCGAACCACTAGTAGATGACTCGGTACCAACCGAGGAAGCGCCTTGACAGTGTTGCCAAGCTGCCAGAAAATATTTAAAAACTGCTATATATATACAGATGAATCCATACATCACTGACCTCGTAATGTGTACTAGAGAAGCGCGACAAGCATGCACTACATGCTAGAAAGAGATAGAAGCACCACGTTGCCTAGCAACATGAGTGACGAGGCCACAGTCGCAGCTGCGGCTTGCCGCGTTGCCATCAACGCACTCTTTCTAACATATATATGATACTTGCTTCTCCCTCGTACACATTACCTGGACAGTGATATTTGGATTTCTCTGTATACTTAGTTGAATGGATTAACAGAGTTGTATTATTGTTGCATATTCCCTAAATTTATTTTCTCGAATATGATGCAGTTGTCAAAAATAGTGAAAGTTTCTGTGGAATGCAAAAAGCAGTTTAAACCGAATAAATCTTTTATCGACAAGTGTTATACAGGGTGACTGAAGTTGAGTCATTAATTTTCAGATAATGATTGTAGAAGGAAGATAAACCAAAATATGTGTATAAAAATAAAAAAAAAATTACCTTGTTTTATAAAGTATCCTCCCGACAAGTATTTCAGTGCGGACCTGTATTTGATCGTGCGGTCTTGGAGCACCGGCATGCCCTCCCCTGTGAGGTCGTAAGTTACCTGATTCACGAGCCCTTTGTACTACATTAACAAAGGCACGAGGGGTTGGTTGCACTCGATTGGGAAGCCGATCCGCATAAATCCGTGATGCCGCGGCAGCATTTTGTAAAGACCCCCCCCCCGTAAATAACAATCATGTCCACAAGTTCAGCATTTTCGTAATCATGTGCCATTTTTTATTTCGTTTGAGCCACGCAACAAACACCACTATTCACTCACGCGTTACCGACTGACACATTGACTGAATAAAATTGTAGTAAAAACATCGTGATAAGCGATTCAAATTCTTTCGCTTTTTTGTTTCCGATGCGATGAACCGATAAGGCGGATTATATCCGTTGGTGCCAAACACGAGCACATAATATTATTATTGAGACAGGGCGGTACTCAAATTTCTAAAGGGCTATAAATTGGTTACTTTAATTTTACCAGAAAAATGTTAAAGGAAAAAAAAAACATTTATTTTGATCAGATCTACTCACTGTTAAAATAAATGACTGAACTTCGAAGTCACCCTGTATATTATTGTCTTCAGCGTTGTACTTTATCATTGGACTTTTACTTCGACAGTTATGAGACAATTTTGATTTATTTCATTTCACTTGTTTCATTCACTTGTGACTACACCCAATGCGAATAGCTACTTGAATATTCTTTCCAGAGAAAATAATGTACATCGATGTATTGGTTTGTCACTGGTAGGCAATGGAGAGATTAGTCAAAATTATTCACTAAAACTGCAACATTTTGGCGACAAACAGTGCAATGTAAACATTTAGGTTTCGCTTTTTCTATTTAAATTCATTGGAATGGATAAGATCACAGCTAAATGGCATTTGAATAGACCTTACAGACTGCACTACAAAGAGGATATGGGCATGTCTAACTAATACATTTTTAATCACCCATTTAACGAAATGGATTATTTGTAACTAAAAAAAATATTAAAACAAAAAATGTTTCTTCCAGATAAATTCGGTGAAGAAGATTAACGTAAATGGAACGTTCAGTATCGAACTGACGACAGACAACGTTGCATTATTTGTATGGTTAGATTCTGGCAAAATTCCAGGAAGGTTCTCAGAAAATGGGTTCCTGCAAGTGGTTAAAAAATTTACATTATTCTTTTACAGCCAGATTGAAACTAGTCAAGATGAACTATCAAAAGAATTAACGATTACAAGTGTTGATCATTATTCTCAATTATTCAATCATTGAAAATTATACAAGCCACAGACAAATACACCCTTTACGAGTATTAAGAGGGCTTCATAAAATTTCAATTTCAATATCACGTTTTTGTTAAGGTATATAAATAATCTTAAAACTGTCACAGGCCAAAATAGAAGAGTCAGAAGTTCAAAATGTCTCGATATCTCTAGGTGAGTAACAAACGAATTATTAAATTGAAACAGGTATATGTATTTCAATATTCATATTATAAATACACCATAATATAATATAATGTATATACAATAAAGCTAGAACTTTAATGGAATTACAAAAATGTCTTTTAGTAAATCTATACCTAGCTGTGAATTTATAAACAGGTTTGTGATGACTGTATCCTGGAACAGCAATTATTATCAAATAAAATTATAACAGGTTGTGTGCTTTCCACCGACGTACTTGATTTTCCGGCATGTAGATGAAAAAGGTGAGCGAGTCCGTTTCCATATCGGTTTACATTTTTAATAGGTAGTTTCGTTGATTTTTGTTCAAAACCCATATTTATATCTTAACCAGATGCACCAAAGGTAGGCACAATTTTAAATACTAATGGGTTATTTCAAGGTAAATGCCACAGGTTTCTTGCATCCATACATATAAATATTATCTTTGATTTTGAATAGGTTAAGTATGCATGTTTTATTAAAATTCGATACAACTTGCACAAATTTATAAGATGCTATCTGACAAGTTGTCGATTTAGCATGTACATCATTTGAGCCGAATCAGTGAAACGTCGTTCATTGCATCTTTTTGGACGCTTTGTAAATATAACCCTAATTGTAACAAATAGTATTGATGACTTTTGATAAATCCATTTTATATTTAGTCCTGTTTAAACAATTAGAAACCGTGGTTCGTGAAACATCGCGATAAAATTGGTGATGACGATAATGATGAATTTGATGATGACCCTGAGAGGCTGTACTAACTCCGCATTATCGAATTCATGTGTGCAAATTCTCAGTCCAAAAACTAACCTTCTCAAATAATCGACACACATTTGAAAACACCAAGATCGTATGATTAGATCCTCAAAACCAAATTTCTTGATCCATCAAAGGTATAATGAACCTTTGGCTCAAATATGACATGTGTAAATCTAGATAATCTTACAAATATCGTAGAATGGCTTAAAAATAGGTTTTAAAGTGCAAGCAATGTTTCTAGACAAAAAATCATCTATGCTTATAAACAAGAATGTAAATTGTGCTCAGATGTCAAGGAGTATATTCAACATTTTCTCGATTATACATGAAACAAAGTTGCACAAGGGGTATATTCCATATACTAGAGCAAGGTTCTGAATCATGATAGCATAATTGGATAATACTATGTACAAAAATAAAAAAATACCCGCTATACTTGCAAAGCTAAGACAGATTGCGAGTATTTTGGAAATGTATTTATTTTTCTGTAGTGTATCACGCACCACAAGTTATCTTTCAGTTGAGTGCATCCAAAGTGTTTCTTTAACTCAACCAAGACCTTGACGACTATGGTCGAAATGAGCCGAAAACAAAAGAAAAAAGTTTTGTCCAATAATCAATATCCGAAGATGAATCTGGCAATTTATTTTCCAAACAGTACATACCTACTTGTTAATGTGATGCAAAACAAATATAATGTAAAAACGTTTATTGAAAGTAAAATAAAGACGTATAAATCTTTACTAATGTAGCAAAGTAATGAACTATACCAGACAAAAATAACTACCCAGATATACCCTCATAACGTCTTGATGACATATTCGAAACTAATTTCGAATTTGGATTAAATAAATTTTCTACATACAAAATCACAATTGACTGATACTGCAAAGAGGAGAACAAAGTATGGATAACAGCAAAAGTACACGAGGAACTGTTTTAATCGTGAACAATTCTTGTTATCTACTAACAGATAAATTTGATCTGCTAAAGACAAACAGGGTTGTAGAAACCATTCAGAAATATCAAGTGAAAAAGAAAATTTTAAGAATAATATAATTTACATGTTATCATAACTGTCTGACATCCCTAATTTCAAGATATATGGAGTCTGGAGTCACAAATAAACAGTTTATCGACTCGTGTACAATTGCCGTAACAGTATCAAAGAACCACTGACTATAAAGTTTTCCAAAAAGAGTATGTGGCAGTAGTCATCAGCAAACTTTTTATACTGGAAATGTAAACTACTTATTATTATACCTAACCTCACAGCAAAACACAGTGATACACATATTTTTTTAATATCCTTAAGGTAGGTCGGAAGGTAGGTGGACCACTTTCATTTTTTCAAAATAGTTTAGCAGCCCCTGCAGCCGCCGTTTCACTTTTTTCTGGTCATCCATGGTACAGCCCAGTAATGCTGATTCGAAATTCTTGTCAGTTATACCTCAAGAAAAAATAAATCGTTTATTATCATTAGTAAGTTCAAGCAATAAGATCAATGTGATAGGCAAAATGCATAGTTCATTCACTTGAGGCCTCAATCTGAGGACGCCTCATTTGCCTTGACAGTCAGGAGAGACAATAGTTTTCAAGAAATAGAGTAATCATTTTGGGTGTTTATCGAAAAGATGTTTCGCATCAAGCATGACTATAATAATTAATTACCTACTTTTTCAACATATAAAGTCGAAAAAGGCTGCCTTCTTTGGTTAACTCTCGCGTCACTTTTATCAAGGGCCAATTTTACAATCCCCAGTTATCTCTGACAGTTAACCAACATATGTGATATATACATTAACTGCCAAGATAAAAGAATGAAGGTTGAGAAATCACTCCCTAAATTTAGAAAATGACTATTACAACGGAATCCGCCAAACAATAATTCAACAACTGTCACACTAACCTTCCACGATTTGTGAAGAACAGGCATTCATGTAACTAACACACCGCTGTTTAGCGGTTTCCGGATCGCTTCTTAAAGTTATGACAAGGCTATCTATAAGGTGGTTGACTTGGAACAAGGCTTCTTCCTGCATCTTGTCCCTTTGGGTCATCACCCGAACCTCGACCGTCATACACCGACTGATGATCCTGTCTGCATATCGAGTAACGTCATCTCTTTCAACTGAAATAAAAAATAGTGTAACGCCCTCGTAACTATGAACTTGAGTAACGATGAGACGCCCTTGCAATATCGACGCTTAGGCAACCAGTTACGCCACCGTGCATCATCAAGAGTACAGCTTGCAGCATCATTGAGATGGATCGGACGATATCGGGAGCGTTCGAGAAGTGTTCATCGACATCGTTTTAAAACTCCGATGAAGCGCTGGAAGGCTCTGGATTGGCCAATATTTGAACATAAATCGGCGGTAATAAAGGAATTGCGAGTATGTTATAAATTAGCGTGAAAGTAATAAATTAGACTTTAAATAGTACAAGCAGTGTTTTTTTTAGAATAGGTTAATTTCAACTCAGAGTGTATCAATCACATGAATTTAAATACCATATTAATCCAGTTTTAGCCGTCTGCTGCCGAGTCGACACATCACCTATTATAAGTGGGCAGTCAACTTGTACGTTCTCTTTTTTGCTGGATACCAAAAAAGCTGTCTATGTTTTACACAATTGACATCAGATGAGATATGGACTTACGAACAGTTTTACCGTCAAGAACCTTAGATTGTATTTATGCGACCATTATTGCAAGCCTGAGACACTCGACATTCATTTTAACAATTGAAAATAATAATACCATTAAGATCCATGCAATTTAAAAAAATGTACATTTTCAAGTATTCAGAAAAAGTTCAATTTAAATATGAGTTACAATCGTTTGATTTCATGTCCAGTGACGAAAACTGTATGTAAAAATATAACCTTGGTTTAATTGTGGATAATGTAAAACACCAAACGATAGAGAATGACTACACAACTTCCTGAAACCTGACGCTCATCATTGCTAGGGAGCTATCAGCTTAAATTAGAGAGCAAAATGTGAGTTCTAAGTTGTTCATGTGAGGGCTGATCAATTTGTGTGAAGCAATCAAGTTATAGGCATAAATTAGCACATCGAAGCAATGACAACTGAAACCCTGTAGAATTGTTTTGAAATTCGGTATGTATGAAAATCTTCACGAGTACAATAATTACAAGCACATTAGCAGCATTAGTAGATTATGGTATTCAAGGATGCATCACTGATAGTGCTAAATATCAACATAAGTACGTAAGTGAAGTTGCCGAATTTGCTGTTTATCATCAAAATACGTAATATTTGGGTAGTTTACAACATATAAGTATGGGATGTAACCAAAACTTTGCGGTCGGTTCTTGTGCTATTACTGGTTTAAAAAAACAGCGATTGAGTAGCGGACCGTCCTTGGTTCGGCGATTAACTCATAGATGGCTTGATATAATGCCTAGTGTTGCCAAACTGACGAAAACATGTTTAGAACACGCGACATTTATACAGGGCTCAATTCTATCAATTCTTTTCACGGTTTTTGGTGGGTACATGAAAAAGTCATACGAAATAAGTAAACATGTCGTCTGAAGGCCAAACTGTTTAGATAACTTGCAACTATGTTAAATGCATACACCGACGAGAGATCAAACAGGCAATGTGACATTAGAAAAAATATTTGTCTTTGGTTACTATAAAGTTAAATAGATATGTGATAACTGACGAGCTTTGGAAATATCTTCTGTTTACATGACGCAGAGAGCATTCACGAGAATTGTGATTTATAATTTTGTGTATAGGAAAATATGTTTTGCAGTATATCAATGGATGATCAGTATCCTCACCATGTGACAGAACACATTGAAAGACAGTTGTCAATTCTTTTTTATATAAAAACAACGCCTGTTATTATTAGTACTCAGACCTCATAATTTTTTTATTGTGTTTTCGCCTCATTATTTTTTATTGTACTCAAGTCTGTTGTTAAAATCAAGTTCAAATCTGTTTATAATACAAACAAGTATGGATATGTTTGGCAAAGTATGACATCATTGTATGCAGTAAATAAATATACGATTACATATACATGCATGAAAAATCATTGAAAATTTCAAGGTTAGATTGATTAATTTCTTCAAAATTTACTACCAGAGTAGTACTGAAACGATCATTTTCACACATCTCCTATGTTAACGAGTGATCTTTTATTTTCTATAAATAAGCCCTGCCCCTTTTTCTTTTTCTGCTGTGTATGCGTCGACGTTTTGGTACTGTACTCGAACAATGAGTGAATTTTTTGAATGAGGTCGTGCTGTTTCGGAAATCAGAATACCCTAATAACATGAACAGAGATCAAATTTAGAGAAAAAGTTATTCAAAAGCTTCCGCGAAATATATCGAAAATACTAGACAAATTACGTTTTGACCTCTACTGATGTGAATAGCTGATCAGCAATCATCTTTTTATTGAAGTCTGTAATGTCGGCAATAATGAATTGGTTATAAATCGAATACATCTCAGGACTGTATTAAGAAATGCTTATACCAAACACATAGTTATTAACTTTTTAGCATTTTGCTTGTAGCGTATTTTCTTGTGTATGAAGCAGCTTTTCTAAGTAAACGCATGTTAGGAATCCGTAGTGTACAAATGTCCGCAACAAAATGCGACTCTGTCTACAGTTCTAGCGTTGACAGATCACTTAGCGATACGGGGTATTTTGAAATGTTACTAGATAATCAGCTGTTACTTACTGGCACGTTTAAAGTAATGGATACTCGTGAAAAATACTTAACTGACAACATACCTAACTTACAATTTCACAACCCATAACAGAACTCAAAAATACCAAAACTGACAAACTAGCTGTCTATGATTTACCACACTATACAGCGTGTTATGATAGTATAAATGTATAGTATAAACATTACTCCAAATTTTGGCTTGCTTAAAGTTAACCTCTTCAAAAAATTAATCTGGACCTATTTAAAAACCACTGTATGTAAATATATTCTTTACTTATGCCTCATTGGTATCTCTAGGATTTAAGTAAAAATAACAAGTTGCAGCATGAGACAGGGTGCTACCAAAATTCACTTAATATCTGCGTCTGACATTTTAAAGATTGACAATTATATGTTAGAAACGATGAAACGACCATTCTTCAATTGTTCGACTTTCCACGATAAATATCTTAGCATCAGCATTGCTAACATTACAGCATATGAATGCTAGATTTTCTACACTGGACATCTACCATAATGAAACAGGCTAATTGACTGGATTCTTATGTTAAAATCCAGAACATTTCAATTCATTTTACATAAAATAGATGTACATGTAGTGAAGAGCTCAATGTATAAATGATGAATAATTTGTATTTCTGTAATCAAACACATCCACACATAGCATGACATTTTTATCATCCATGGTAAAAAATGATAACATTGTTTGCAAACTTAATGCTGATGTATTAATTCATAAGAAAGCTTCTAAACATATCTGTTTGTAGTCACAAATAGATTCATACTTTGATGATACACTATTTAAGCTAAGTTACCATAGCATGCAAAGGTACAAGCAAGCATTTAAAAACTCTAAAAAAGCCAAGGGTTTTTCAAAGAAATGTGGCAATATTACTAGGGTATAAAGTAGATAAAAAAATAACACGAAAAGTTCATATAAACTTAGATCCTAAAATGTCCCATTGAGAAGATATGGGGTGCTGAAATTATAATTTAAAAATCGATAAAAAACTATTTTTTCAGAGTTAGAATATTCACTTCACTTTTGAATAAGGTATTCAATTTTACAAGAATCTCTTCTCTTGGCTAATTTTTGTCTGACTAGTCCTTTTTTGGGAAAAACTGCTTTGAGTATTTGAAGTCCATATAAAAAACTCCAACCTGTTATACTTTGAACATAAGCTGAGTTTTTCTGAAAATATATTGGTGTTTGTTAACCTTCCTGCTAAATATAATTTAATTTTGTGTTTTAAAGTGTTATGCAATATGAGGTGAGATAAGTATGTGTAAGGTGTAAGGACAATTTAAAAAATTAATGAAAATTTATATTAGCGTTTTATAATGATCCTCAAATTTACAGGTCTTTAACAATGACACCTAACTACCAAAGCTAATACAGACAAAATAAGCATATATACTTTTTCACTACGTTTGGAGAAAGTACATATCTACTCTAAATATTTGAAGAAAGCATTAAAGACTTTTTAAACGATAAAATTTTGTTAATTACACTCTCGGAAACATTATTTATAGGTGAATATATGGTGTTTTCAGTGTCAATTAATATATATAAATATTAATAAAATAGCTTATTTTGTTTTCATGTTCATTATGTAACAATACAATATGATATGTAGTACATATTTGTCAGGGTCAAATATTTTGATTTTGACAGATTTTATAGCAAAATGTGTGGACAGGGGGTGACATTTAAACTATGGAAAATGTACTTCAATGATGATATAAATAAATAACATATTGTTTCTTACCAGTAGGAGCAACATTCAAACATATCATGACACTGGGTGCTGAGCCTAGATAGTAGAAGGAAAAAATTGAGCCCTTCCACATTCCCCAACACCACCAACCAAACCCTATAATTTTGTACCACAAAATTTTTCAAAAGATTCTCTGGAACGCCAAAAACGACGAGAACCAGTGAAATGATGAAAGGATAATGACAAAAATGTACATGACCTCCAAAGAAATTTAGAGTCCTTAATTATTATATTATTGTATTCATGAAGCATTTTTTTCATAGTTCCAGTAATGCACCACTGAAATTCAGAAATTCAGAGTAAATAGTGGAACCACTGGCAAAAGGATATATGCTGACACTATGTGAGCAGCTGATGCATTTCTGGTTTCACTGTAAAAATTGTACTAGTTTCAAATCTTTTCTTGAATTGTCACATTTAAGTGAGAAAATATGCAATTTGAATTGTGCCAGGGTGATACAATTTTCAGGAACCACAAAAAGGTGTTTTTTCAGGGTTTATTTCCAAAATTTGTAGTTTTGATTAAGATTTGTATGTATGGGCTCAAATAATTCTGCCCAACAGTAATGATCCCCATTTTTTGTATCACCATACTGATTACACACTGAACATTGTTTTGGTTTGTCTTTCTTAAATAGATCAACTTTAGAAAAAAATAGACAAGCAATTCATCCATAACAAATTCCATTTGTTGTTAAAAATGTTTTCTCATATAAGGCATCAAAATATCTTGATAATAAAATTAACTACCTTAAGCCTGTCAATATCATGCGAAAAAAAACTAATCATTTTAGCTGAGTTGACAAAAATAAGCAGTTACCTAGAGCGGACTCACTTTCATCCAAATTATACATCAAATCCGCATTCACAACAGAATCCAAGGTAGACAACAATGCATCCTTGTCCTCCTCTAATTGACTGGCTCCTCTTCGCAGCTTTTCAACATGAGTTTCTAGCATGTCCAACATTTCCACTACCCTTTCTTTAGGTGGTTTGTTGCTTAACATGTGATCTTCGTCGATTTTCGGCATTGCTTGCAGAACCACTGCTGTGGAGATCCCTAGGAAAGGTATTTACACTTATAAAACACTAGATACGTATCACAGTATACAGTGTAGTTGCAAATGCTACGACAAAAAAAGACGTATCTCAAAAAAAATGAACGTATGGATGGAAATTTGAATACAAAAATGTTTGATACGTATACACCACCAACGTACGTCGGGGATACACTTGAAGCTTTATACAAGTTGAAGTCGTTATCGCGAATTGTGTGGAAATGTTTGGAAACGTCTAGAATACGTTCTTACCCGAGGACGAACAGGATATTGGTTCAACGTCCATTCCGGCGTAGCTGTTTCCGCAGGAAGCCAGTGTGCCTACGAAACTAAATACTGCCTCCAAAAAATATACTAATCAAATAATGTGACTTTTTATTGAAAAAAATGGGGTATGTATGCTGATAATGCCGGATAATAACGTCAGAATTACTCGAAAACAATTGATGCTGTTAGGTTGGTATTTTGGTGTTGGTAGGAGTAATTGACATTTAAAACGTCAAAGTCGAAAGCCCCTCATAACCATATTCCCTAAGAGCCGGAACGTTGTGACCAGAAGTTCGACCAAGTCCGATAATAGGTTTGAGGTGAATGTAAAATGAACAAAATGTGCTGGAAAATCGTCGTAATTCCATCATTCTATGACAATTTGCGGTCCGAGTAAAGATAACATGGCCACGCAAGACATCTGTTGAAATGTATTCTACTAGACTCTAGAAGACTATCCGTAGCTAAATTTTTGGTGAAATCGTTGCACAACATTTGAAAAAATGCAAATGAAAATTGCCGCTTTGACGTTGTAAAGGACTCCGTCGGTACACCGGGATAGACATTCGTCTTGGCGGATAACCTTGCTATTCTTGCTACCTGGATTGCGGAGTTGCCAGCTTATCGGACGATTTTGCTACCTCTGCTATTTTGATAGAATGTTATAAAAAAAGAAGTTTTGAATAAAATATTGAGGAATAACAGTGGAGATATATAAAATTTGAGGCGTAGCAATCTTTGCCAAAAGACTAGACAAAAGCCGTTACTTACAATTCGCGTCGCCTGGCGTTTTATAGGATAAAATACAACAATTGGAAAAAACAATGTTTCATTATATACATATATTTATTAACTATTTGATCTAAAATTACATGATCTTAATAATAGAAGTACTATTTTCATTTTACTCTATTTGTAGTATCTTATTCGCAGAGATATTAGGCATTCACTTTAAGGAAGCTAAAAATGGACAGCTTGATAACTTGAACAGAACTTATAACTCGTCGAACATGTGGAATTACAGGCAGACGCATATTTAATATTTGAAGTACCCGGTTCAAAAGAAGTTATATGAGGCCAATTCTTTTTACTGTACTGTTCTTTTGTTGCCCTTCTGTCTCATAGACACAAAAAACAGCAATACCCCGAAGTCCTAGAAATATACCTATGACTTTTAAATCTCCACAGATATCCCACTGATACTGTTCATACTAAATACGATTGGTTGCTAAGTTGTCATAGGTTTCTTTCAATATCACTGACTGGGCTAGGATCATGTTCGATATTAAGCTCATTCATTAAACCATCAATCAGGCAGCAGTAGTAGACTCTTCGGTCTCCTGATCAGTCGCCGTGCGCTGTGCGGGTTCGAGTCCCGTCCCAGGAGAAATTTTTCTCTTGGCTATGGATGTTGTGATTGTCCGTAGATGGTATCTGACTGTCGAACGTGGAGGTACCACCCGGCGGTTCTCGTAGGCGGAGCCAGAATGTGTGCATGTTGCATGCACACGTGTTCCCTCGTCAGAGTCCGTGTGGCGTCCCCCCCCTTTCCCATGTATCCCCCTATACCCCACGGTACCCAATGGGTGCTTAGGCGTTCGTGGTAGTTGGAGTATAAAAAAAATCGCTACTCTTGTTGGACATTTGGTGCCCACGTATCCTCCAACAACCAAGGAAAGACATTGTAGTTTCCTAAACACGGGGCTGAGATTCCAGATTTGAAAACGACAGAGAATCAACGCTTGATTTTTTGTACCATATTTTGTAAAGATAGTGCCAAGGGCTTAGTGCCAAAGCACGATACTGTCAATTATAGACTAAATTCGTTGGACTACAAATAGTATTTTGTTCGAGGCTTTCCTAATATTTTTCAGAAATGAATGTAAGTGCATAAGAATATTTCCAAGAACGTTAGATTAGTGCACGTTTCTGTGGATTTCTTTCTATAATAATGTATTACAGGGTGGCCAAGATAAGGATCAGCCTAGGTTAAATTCAGTAATAACGCAATCTTACATCAAGCATTTGTTTGCAACGCCTACTTAAATAAAATGAAAAAATAGAAAAAAACACGTTTGTTCATAACTTAAGAAAAAACAAATGTAAAGTGATACATCGGTGAAGTCGTAGAAAAAGATGCTAATAGATGCAGGGTCGTACTTTTTTAAATGTTGCGCACTTCGGGCACATTTAAAAACGCCAGCTTGTAGTGCCATTAGTTTTTTGACATTTCTTAAAATAAAGTCGGACAAAAGTAAAAACAATTTTGCCAAATTTTAGTTTTTTCCCGAATACCTCAGTATATGACTAATCTCTCAGTGTATGCAATGTGCATTTAAAAAACATAGGATGTCAACCCTAACACACAAGTGGATGAGTATGCAAGGCTTACCTAGTTTGGCAGCACATGTATCCTGTTTCCTTCAGAAGAGTTGGAAGTAGACCTGATTTTCACTTTGGAAATACTAGACACCAACGTCACAACACTGAAACACCAAAGCACCACTAAGACACAATCCAGAACCCTATAGTGAACACCACAACAAAAAAAATAAACCAAATGGAGCTCTGCACGCATCTGTGAACGCGTAGAGATTCCGCTGCGTCGACGGTTGCCGAGAGACTGAAGCGTGTGAGTGCTGTACCTCGCTGTGGCGATACGGTACGGCCGGGTTGTACAGCCACGCCCCTTCAAAGCTCCCACTCCGCGGGTCTGCTATGGGTCAACGTAAACATCGAGTCGCTTCGGGAGCAGACGCGCGGAGTGGGAGCTGGAAAGGGGCGTGAGTGTACTACCCGGCTGTACCGTATCGCCGCAGCGAGGTACAGCACTCGCAGACTTGCACGCTTCAGTCTCTCGGCAACCGTCGGCGCAGCGCAATGTCCACGTGTTCGCTGCTCCGTGCAGAGCTCTATTTGGTTTAGCTACTTTTTTTAGTAGTGGTGTTAACTATAGGGTTCTCAATTGTCTCTCAGTGGCGCTTAGGTGTTTTAGTGTTGTGACGTGGGTGTTGAAAGTGTCTCCAAAAAGGAAATTAGGTCTACTTAAAACTCTTCTGAGGAAAACAGGATACACGTGTAGCAAAGTAGGTGAGCCTTGCATACTCATCTACTTATGTGTTAGGGTTGACATCCCAATTTTTTTTTTAAATAAATTGCGCACATTGCATTCACTGAGAGATTAGTCATATACTGAGGTATTTGGGAAAAACTAAAATTTGACCAAATCGTTTTTATTTTTGTCTGACTTTATTTTAAGAAATGTCAAAAAACTAATAGTACTACATGATGGAAAGGACGACACTGTATCTAATAGCATCTTTTTCTACGACTTCAACGATGTACCACGTTACATTTGTTTTTTTTTTAAGTTATAAACAAAGGTGTTTTTTTCTATTTTTTCATTTTATTTAAGTAAGCGTTGCAAACAAATGCTTGATGTAAGATTGTGATATTACTGAATTTAACCTAGTCTGATCCTTATCTTGGCCACCCTGTAATACATTATTATAAAAAGACATTCACAGAAACGGGCACTAATCTAACGTTCTTGTAAGTATTCTTATGTACTTACATTCATTTCTGAAAAATATCAAAAATATTAGCAAAGCCTCAATCAAAATACTATTTTTAGTCCAAGGAATTGGTCTATAATTGACAGTATCATGCTTTGACACTAAGCTCTTGACACTACTCGTATGTTTACTAAATATGGTGCAAAAAATCAAGCGTTGATTTTCTGGCGTTTTCAAACTTGGAATGTCAGTACCGTGTTTAGGAAACTACAATGTCTTACCTTGGTTCTTGGACGATACGTGGGCACCAAATGTCCAGCAAGAGTAGGGATGTGATGCGTCCAAAATGCATCTGTATGTAATTCCACATGATCGAAGAGTTATAAGTTGGAGTCAAGTTATCAAGCCTAATATCTCTGCGTATAAGACGGATACTAAAAATTGTAGACTAAAATGAAAATCGTACTTCTCCTATTAAGATCATGTAATTTTAGATCAAATAGTTAATAAATATAGTAAAGTAATGAAACATTGTTTTTTTCCAATTGTTGTATTTTATCCTATAAAACTGGGCATTTAAAGCATGTTTATAGACATTAACGTTCCGGAGCTTGGACGCCAGGCGACGCAAAATGTAAATAACGGCTTTTGTTTAGTCTTTTGGCAAACATTGCTACGGCTCAAATTTTATATATCTCCACTGGTATTCCTCAGTATTTTATTCAAAACTTCTTTTTTTATATAATATTCTATCAAAATAGCAGAGATAGCAAAATCGTCCTATAAGCTGGCAACGCCGCAATCCAGGTGGCAAGAATGACAAGGTTATCCGTCAACACGGATGTCTATCCCGGGGTAACGACGGAGTCATAAAGAAAAGTGGCAATTTTCCAATTTTTATTTGCATTCTTTAAGTGTTGTACAACGATTTCGGCAAAAGTTTCTATACAGATAGTCTTCTAGAATCTAGTAGAATACATTGAACAGTTGACTTGCGTGGCCATGTTATCTTTACTCGGACCCAATTTTCCCATGTTCTTCTGCGTATTTGTACACTACTTTATGAATCTAGCAGAAATACTTCCCAGTAGGTATGCCGGCAGAAGAAATAAGGTCTGTGAGGACCTTAACGCACCAACTGTATTGTTGGTTGCATATCTTGTTCAATTTAAGCATATGCCGAGAATTGAGCATTTCTTACAAATCTGTTCTCATATATACAGGGTGACTTCGAAGTTGAGTCATTTATTTTAACAGTGAGTAGATCTGATCAAAAGAAATGTTTTTTCCTTTGCCATTTTTCTGATAAAATTAAAGTAACAAAGTTATAGCCCTTTGGAAGTTTGAGTACCGCCCTGTCTCAATAATAATATTATGTGCTCGTGTTGGCAACAACGGATATAATCCGCCTTACCGGTTCATCGCATCGGAAACAAAAAAGCGAAAGAATTTGGAACGATGTTTTTACAATTATTTTCTTCAGTTGTATGCAGTCAGTGTCAGTCGGTAACGCGTGAGTGAATAGTGGTGTCTGTTGCGTGGCTCAAACGAAATAAAAAATGGCACATGTTTATGCGGATCGGTTTCCCAATCGAGTGCAACCAACCCCTCGTGCCTTTGTTAATGTAGTAAAACGGGCTCGTGAATCAGGTGACTTAAGACCTCACAGGGGACGGCATGCCGGTGCTACAAGTCCTCACGATCAAATACAGGTCCGCACTGAAATACTTGTCGGGAGGATACTTTATAAAACAAGGTAAACTTTTTTTTATTTTTACACACATATTTTGGTTTATCTTCCTTCTACAATCATTATCTGAAAATTAATGACTCAACTTCAAAGTCACCCTGTATATTTATGGAAAATGATTGACCTGTTTAGATTGTCAAGGATGGATCGACCGTAATAGAGAGTTGCCGGATTTTTTCAGCCTGTGAGGAACAAATGCTTAAATGGGCAAAAAATACCTTATTTCAGTTTTTTTACAACGGAGAAATAAAATAATTTGACAATATTTTTTGCTTGGTATTCTGCGACTTGAGCCAATTTTAACAACGAATTCGGATAGATTGGAGTATATATTTAGATTGCTCTTTTGTCGCCAAAATTGCATAGTTTTCTTCTATATTTTTGTTGTTTCGAACATTCTGATCCATTTCCGAATTACATTGGCGCTTGTAACTTCTCTTAAATCGCGTAAACCGTGTTCATGTCGATACAAACGTCGTGCAGTAATAACCGATTTATTGTTTTCATAATACGCTCGGACAAAAATGCACACTGCGCTCCCGTGTACGGCTCCATGGCGACTAAATTTCCAGGCAACCGCGCCGAGAAATTTAAGGTTTAAATCGCCAACACTCTATGGCCCACCCTGTATTATGTCTTGAAATCGTCTAACATCTCAATTATCTGCACTCACACTTTGAAAAATGAAACACTATAACTATACGTATTTAATGACAGGACCGTCAAAAAGTTGACTTATGCACTTTGATCCTCTACTATGAGAATTAGGGGACAAACAAACCCTTGATTGGCTCCTTCCACCTAGTCTGAATTCGATGGTATTAACATATTTGTATAATTAATACAATTATATAATCGTAATTGAAAACGGTCATCAATTCGCTTTTTTTATCAGACTAGGAGTATCATTTAATTAGTGCATCAGTCCACATTAAATACCATTTTTTTCTTTCTTTCGAAACAGTTTGAGCTAGGAATACTAAAATCGAAGGATAACATTCGGATTTCTGTAATTTTTTTTTTTATACTCCAACTACCACGAAGGCCTAAGGCCTAAACACCCATTGGGTACCGTGGGACTATAGGGGGATACAGGGGAGAAATGAATAACGAAAAGCCCTGGACGACTATCTTCCACTTTCTAATGGCACCCGTACTGTCGCCATTAGAAGTTGTGCTACCATTATTCAGACCGTTTGGATTTTTTCATACAAGCAAGTAATATTTGTTTCTCCTATTTATGAAAGTTCTGCAGCTTCTTGACAATTGTTGTAATTATGTCTCTCACTTGACAGCCAAAAAAATTGTCGTTACTAGGTCTTCTCGTAAATCCCATGCATTTTGGCATGCATTTTTCGCGATTACAATACTTTATCGTCATTCGGCGTTGGTAGTAAAACGAAAGTTAGCAACATTGAATTATACTGTGTCGGACAAGAGTTATTTATAACAAAGCGCCCATTCAAAGCTTGTGCCTTCGTAGGGGTGCCCCGTAGTACATGTTTTAACAGAAAAATAAATACCATTATATTTTCGTATCCTAGATATGGCCACCTCATTCTGGGTCGCAAACTATTGTATAATCGCTTTCCTGCTGTCGCGGAAGACTTTTTTGAATCGTCTATATTTTTTTGAGTATGTTGCCAGAGATCAAAGCAGCACATAAACGTGAAACGTATATCACGGCAGTACCGTCCACGGATTGAGCCGCAAGCTTCTACCGTAAGAAAAAATTGACATACTTATTAGACACAAATCTAATGAAATAAGGAACAAGAACGCGTTAAACATGCCGACGTGTGGCAATGGCAATGAAAAAGTAAGAATATGAGATCGAGCTTCTTCGTCTTGCCTCTCTCTATACCACCATTGAACTACATGGTCGCAGTACCGTTAAAGCACACATGTTCGCGACGGTCAGCAGTCAGAGTACGACCAAGTAGGATCGCGTATCGGCCGCGAGTGTATGCGTGGAGTGTGTAAGTACCATTTTCGAAGTAACATCTTAAGGTCAGGATCATGAGCAAAAAGGAAGATCTCGAACAGGATGAAAACAAGTACGACAATAGCATTAAGGTGAGTCGATTTGAATGTGAGTTCGCTTATTAGATTTATTTTTCGTCGTAAAATAGCCGTCGGCAAAGATTATAATTGAAAAAGAAAGTACTGGAATTTAGCCAGCGGAGAAATTTAGAAGACATTATAATTTTGCGTAATGAATCTGCGAGAGGATGTTGGTGAAACAAGTTTCAAGTTTTTTTCCATTGCTGATTTCCGGTGCTTGTTCTTAGTTTTGGAGAAGGTTTATGAGGACGTTATCCTCTCTAGCGATATATTGATTGTAAAAGTGAAACTCTTTATGTGAAAGAGTGTGGGTACTTGACACACCTCACTAAAGACGTAAGCATGCAGTTTATGTCATGAGGTACAAAATAGCTTTGAAATTCAAGTGATTCTCTTCTTCTTTTCTTTACCCGCTGCTTAAAACTATTACTTAGTCATCAGTCTGCCTATCCCTTTGAACTTCGATACAGATCCATGTTGGTCATTGACGTTCTACTGTTGAGGATGTATTGTGTCCACTATGGCTTGAATTTTCGTTTTACTGTTGTTGACTGATAAATTTTCAATAGAAAATCCTGGATAAATAACATTAATTTTCATAAATAATTTAAATGGTTTTGTTATTTCTAAGCTGAAAACCGCACAAGAAAATATAAGCACTTGGGCACGCTTGTCCCCGAGTTGAAGAATCGCGTCATGGAATATTAGCACATAATTAACAACCATCCTTTGTGATAGCAGCTGTTATAAGTACGAGATGCGATATGTCTCATTTTAAATGCAAACGTATACTATAGCGATACGTTGTAACGTTGATCAACGTATCCTAGTTGTAAGAATAGTTTCTATCCAACGTTCACTGCGAATCTAAGTAAATAGTGGAAATAATTGTTCTATGGAAAGTATAATAAAATCAATTATACTGAAGTTATAAAATTTTCGATATCGTAGTTACCTAATGGTAGTAAAATCATTAAAAAATGTATGTAGTTTAGCACTGTTGTAATGAAATTGGTGATGTGAATTTGCAGATGATTAAATTGTAACGTATTATCTGACGGTTCATACTAGGCACTTAAATATACTACTCGTATTTTGGATTTATGTAAAAATCTAAAACGTTTTAAGTACATATACAGCGCCTTTCAAACAATTGGCACATAATATATTTTAGCGTAGAAGTGCAAGTTAAAAATTTCATAATGACGGATGAGCGGATCTTGGAACATTTGTTCAATGGAGTGGTACGTGCGCGGTGATACATCATTTCGATGCCTCCTATGAGTACTTTATAACGCTCTCGTCACTATCTTTCAAAATCGCGGGCGTTCAGGCTGTCAAACATTAACGTTTTTGTATATCGAATAGCTTATAACTCAAAAAGATGTTCCAAGATGGTGTACAACAGATATCTCGATATTATCAAGTGTTACTTTTATGTTGAAATACAGTATCCATGGAGCAGTTACATACCCCAAATCTAAACTTGCTAGTTTGGCGCATTTTAAAAATAGTAGAGAAAATGACGCTTTTTGAAAACTGTTGTGTTCTTCTTAAAGTATTTTTTATAGGCAATTGCATAAAAATCGCGGGAACGAAGAATCCCAATATCTATAAACAAATAAATAGTATTTGGTCGAGAATTTTTCGTAAATCAGGATGATGAGTCATACAGTCTTTTCCCATTATGTAATATGAAATTTAAAAAGTGAGTGTCGTAAAATCCTATGGTACTCAAATTTCAACTTTAGTCGTAGAAATAATGATTGTTGCTGAAGCGTACTGGGTTTCAAATAAGGAAAAATGTTCATTATCTGCGAAGATTTGTACATTTTTATATCTCTCAATTCGGTAGTCGCTATGCATGGATGAAATGAATTAACGTTAAGAAGCCATACAAGGTTTCGATCTCATTTGCATGCTCTAGGGTCAACTACCTATGTAAGTACTTTTGCACCCTTGCACATCTTTGTTCTAGACATTTCTTACCTCCCCATCCTATAGCAGAGACTATAACGTTTTTCTTCTGACGAATTTTTGTATGTGATTGGTTTAATTATTACTTTCAGGAAAATAACCCCAAAGAGCGACCACCAACAGATTCAACGTCAGTACCTGCAGTATCTTTAGCTCCACCAAAGCCAATGTTTGGCTTTGTATTGAACATAAACAGTGTTTTCGGCCTATCTGCCATCCTAGGAGCGATATCAGTGTGTACTATGTTCTTTATAGCTGCAGAGGAATGCAGACAATGTTTTATACATATTGATGACAGCCCAACACCAGCTTCTAAGGAATGCCATAAGGTTATGTGGGTATATACGAAAAATCCAGGACAAGAGCATCTCAAGGAGGTTTTTACCGTTCTAGGGAGATTCGGGTGAGATAAATGTGACTAGAAAAACTTTTTACGTAATAATCCATAAACAAACAATGAAGTAAACTTTGAGAGCACGCCACTGGTAATGTCTTATTATTTCAAGTCACGATTACAATCGATTCAGCTAAAAAGTAGATTGTTAGTTTTGATAAACGACTGCCACTTTTGGTATCTCCTACAACATACGGGGTGTTCAAATAGTTCCGCACCCCCTCTCTCAGAAAATACAGACCGGAGAAAAAATGACTAAGACAAGAGTTGTACGATTTTACTTGAGCAATCTAATGATGGTCTTGACCTTGACTCTCACCTCGAAGGTCATTTCAAGGTCAAATTGGATTTCTTAAATGAAACCCTATATTTCGATCCCGGAAATTGAAAGATATGAGGAGAATCCTGAGTTTGGATATAACCTTGACCTTTAAAATCGTTTCAAGATTCTTTTGATCCCGGAAATCGAAAGAGTTTAAATTACCAAGTCCAGATCAGTGACCTAGATAATGCGTTCTGACAATGACTGATTCACCAAAATGACTAATACAAGAATTTTACTTAAGCCAGGTCACTGATAGCTCTGGTCATAGTCATGGTCAAGGACATATCCAGACTTAGAAATGTCCCCTCTTTCGATTTGACGGGCCAAAAGAATAGAGTCCGTTTTACGAAAATGGCCTTTCAAGGTCATATCCAAACTTTTTCACCTATTTGGATTTTCTGGGTCAAAAGTAATAAGGGCCCTATTTCAGAAATCAATTTTACCTCGAAAGGACCTTCAAGGTCAATATGAAACTCAAACTTGAAATTTTCGCATCTTTCATCTTCCAGGATCATAAGTATAGGGTTCTATTTAAGAAATACCAATTTGACCTTGAAATGACCTTCAGCGTTCAAGTCAAGGACATTGTCAATATCACCATTAGGTTGCTCAAGTAAATTCCTACAACTTTTGTCTTAGTCATTTTTTTCTCATATTTTGAGATAGGGGTGGGGTCGGGAACTTTTTGAACATCCTGTATAATTTTTAAAATGTAATTTGCAAAAAACAAACCATAATTATGTGAACAAAGAAAGGCGCTCATAAATGAAGCTATTATTTTCTAAATAAGAGGAACTGCCATCAGTTACTTATACAACAAAAACAACAACAAATATACCAGTTTTCAATGGCAGCTATACACTTACATAAACACTAAATTAAAAGCGAATTGGTTATTATATTCCGTAGGTACAAGCAGGACCCGAATGAAACAGACTGGGACCTTTTGTGGGCTCATGATTATCCGTTTAATCAACTGTATAATCAACTCAGTAATTTAATGCCACATCAACGTGTCAATCATTTCCCAGGCAGTGGATATATTACAAATAAGGCAAGAGCACCACAATATTTGAGCAAAGTTTTGCAATTAAAGTTCGGAGAAGATAAGATTTCATGTTTATTCAAGTCTGTCGTTGATCTCAGACTGATTTTTACTTCTACTTCTGTACTTGTATATGCTTTCTTGTGTTGGTTATTCTTCTAATTCGTGATTAATAAATCTCGGTTTTTACAGGTTACAATGGCGACAAGCAATCTAAAATATATCCCAATAGCTTTCAAGTTACCGGACGATTCCAAAGAACTACTAGAATATACTAAAAAATATCCGAACAACAGCTTTGTTCAGAAAGACAATTTCCACCGACAAGTAAGAATAGTGAAAGTGGAAGACATAGATCTCAAGTCAAAAGGAAGTTTTGTGCAACTTTATGTAGATAATCCATTGTTGATCAGTGGCCGTAGATTTGATATAGGCATTTACACCGTGATTACTTCTGTTGAGCCTTTGAGGATGTATATTTACAATGGCGAAGCCCTGTTAAGGTAAGGATTGTTGTAAATAAATACTGTTGTTTTGTTTGACGAACTTCCTAGTACTTTTCTTGACAATCCTAAGTAGTGTAGATCAAAAGACGCGATTTAAAAAAAATATTGTCGTCGCCGTTTTTTATTATTACCATAAATTGCAGAACACTCATGAGCTATAGCGCTTACCCACGTAAATTGATGGATTGACAGAAGCATGGATGCCTAATGTGACACTAGGACAATTCTAACTTCATACATTTTATAAATATTACTTATAAAATTTTAATTTCAGGTTTTGTCCAGAAAAATATCACCCATTTGACCCAAAGAATTTAGATAAATATGTAGTTGGTGATGATTATAAACCTATTTGGGAGATTCCAGACCTAGATTATCTTTACAACACATTAGGTTTCAATATGAAAGAAAGTTTGAATGCATATTTGGAAAGCATTGGCGAGAATCCAACATTTGTCTGGACCCAAATTGAGGATGCTATTAGGACTGTTGTGCTGGATAAAGAGAAATACATAGTGGATGTCCTAAAAAAGTAATTCTATATCAATATCAATTGCTAATGCTTGTTTTCCGTGCAATATCTCCATTTCAAAAACCTCACAAGTCATACAATTTGAATTTTTCAACAGACAATAAAACTGTCATTGAAAAATAAATCAGTCTTAACACGTTGACTGTCATTTTTTTTCGGTTGGTTTTACCCAGGAGCCAATTAGTTGTATAATGGTTAATTTGTTATTTTGGTAGTACAACTTCGTAAAATCAGTTATTGAGGTACTTTCGTAAAATGTTTTTTTAATTAGAATATTTTTTGTGCCTCTTCTAAGAGCCGACGGCAGTGACTTACAAATCGATTTCCTGTGTGCCAGCTGGTGCTTATAAGAGTCGGAAGATAATTATTTGTTTTTTATAATAGAAATAAACTAAAAGCAAAAAAAACATTTATTATCGACTTTTAACAAAAATAGAATATTAAAAATAATTTTTGTAACCCAAAATAGTAGAGAACATATAACAGTATAACAAAAACTTTTCCGGTAAATAATACACCTAATGTGATGAAATCTAATAAAAAATGAATCAACTTTTTTAGAATACAAACATGAATTTGTGGTGAATGCAGACTACTTTTGGTGCAAACAATTATTTGTGAATAATGTCATTGCACTCCAAGCAGAATCCTGGAACATCAGGACATGTTCTACATTCGTACATCGTTTGGGCATGGATTCCCTTCTTGCTACAAGACTGGCATCTTTTTCTGGATACTTGTTTTTTACCATCTAAATCACGTTTCTACTGTGTGCCCTTGAGTGCCTGCAGTATTGTACCTTGACTCTGATAAGAGTCAGCGGCACCGGCGAACATCTCGCGTTGACTCTTATAAGAGCCAGCGGCAGCGAACGTGTTAAAGACTTTTTTGGGCTTAATTTAGTGTTGGAGTTTTAAAAGACTTAAATGACGAATAACCTTCACGGTTTATTAGTAACAATAATTTCTAGATGTTTTTAAGTAAGAAATAGGATTAGTGGTATATAACTTGAGCAAGATAATCATATTAATAGTAATACTTTTAGTATTATTATTAGCAGTACAACAGTAGGATTTCCAGTGTTATATCCAAGTCATAAATCGACTATCGTGAAAAGCGCATAGACTTATTCGTTCAACCTCTTTCTATAATCAACAATTGTCACGTGCTTATTTGTGTATCAGACAGCAAAACCTATTTATTTTCAATAAAATAAATTGATTTTGTGTGGAATACCATTTTTATACTATCTATAGAGCACGTAAATATAAAAAAAATCAAGGATCCCGGTACTAATAAGTACCCACTGTCAGGTGACTTACGTTGTTTTTATGCCTAAAATACGCATCGACATTTGAAGAAACGTTCACAGCAAAAAAATATTCTGTAAAAATGTGACTTAGGTGGTTTTTGAAATGGCCGGTTCAACATGCCTAAGTAAAATACTGAGAATAAACAAGTGATTTATTTTTGTAGGTATAAATCGAAACGTAACTTTTTTGAATTGATGCGCTTTGACTTCGTTGTAGATGAAGAACTGAACATATATCTTTTAGAAGCAAACATGAGTCCAAATCTGTCATCAGCACATTATCCCCAAAATAGTCTCATGTATCAACAGGTGCTGTACAATGTTTTAAGACTGGTCGGTGTAGCAGAGCCAATAGTTAAGAATACTCTAGCTTATAGGTGAGTTACATCTCGACACCTTACCCCTACTGAGCGGGGCCGTAGCAAATACTTGTTCCGGAAGTTGTTGTATTCAGTATACAACTTCTTCCCATTCAAGTGATTGTACAAGCGTTAAGAAGTACTTTTTCCGCATGACCTCCTCACTTTATACAAGGGCCAGCTAAGACCTAGCCTCGAGTATTGCTCACACGTTCGGGGTGCTGCCGCGTCGGCTACATTGTTTATGCTCGATGGTGTCCAGAGGATACTGTCCGACTGATCAATAGCTCTAACAGTCAGTCTTGGGCACCGACGGGCCGTCGGCGATCTAACTCTCTTCTACTGCTACACCAACGGGCTTTGCTCCTAAGGGCTCTCCTCCATGATGGCGCTGTGCGATGTGCTTGCCAAACAGATCCACCTGACTTCGGCCTCGTATCCTAACCGTGTCGAACTTTGTACATCCAGAACTGGCCGATACGACCGCTCATTTGTTCCGAGGGTGTTGAGACTGCGGAACCATCTACAAGAGGAAGCTTTTCCCAGTTGGCAGTTGAATGCTCATAGCAGCCGTGATTTCCTGGCATTTGGGCTTCTGCCTCCGCGGCTACTTCGGTGCAAAAAAAAAACAATGGTGGTTTTGCTTATGAGTATCAGAAAAACGCTTCGAAAAGTTGTACCATATAGGTGAAATATTCTTTCCTTGTTTCTGGGTGGTTTTGTGAAGTGAAATAAAATTTCTTAAAATGAGCTATATTGTTTTTAGGTCCAAATCTGAAGAAAAAATGATTGTATCAGACAAAGACTTAGCAGTATATTCTGAAACATGCAATAGCCAATTATGTCGGAGAAGTTGCACTTCTCCCTTATGCAGCTTGTGCAAAACATGTCTTGCTGCTGATACAAGGCAGTACCTAATGCAAGCGTACAAAGAACACATGCACAAAGGTGATTGTAAGAGGATATTTCCTCCATCTATGGTGAGTGAACAATAAACATTTGGTAAACTTTCATTCAAGGTGTTAATGATACGCCGTTATTACAATGGCGTCCTCCTGAACCAAATTTAAGTAGAAAAGTCATATATACATGTCTGGTTCCAAGAGGGTGTAAGAAATTGAAAGAAATATATGACTTTTTGACAGAAAAAATAATAGCATACTGTCACAGGACAGTCAAAAATATGTTCATCATACCAGTACACTCATTCCTTGGCAATGATCAAAGTTGATTTGATCCTGTTTTATTGATTTTTCGATATGTAATGAAGCTGTTTAATTTTTTCTTCGCAAGTAAGATGTGAAGGGATGCCAAGAGACAAAAAGTTGTTAGAAAACCCAAAAGATATATATTTCTCAAAATCATTCGTGAGACTACGCCAGAAACGCCACTGGAAGTCATAATGATCTTCTCGTTAGTGCTAACTTAACGTATTATTGTTACAAAAAACACTGCTAACACTCAACAAAACGGGCAACAAGTATCTTTGAGATGTTAATCAAAAACCAAAGTTTTTATAAAACTAACACCCTGAAACATGACAACAAGGATTTTTTCGGAGACATTTTTATATGAACTTATCTACTTAAATTAGGTTCAGGAACTTGCCCTTAAAATTACGGCCTATCATACAGGGTGTCCGAATATTCCGTGGGCATAGACGTACCACGTATTTTTAGACTCAAAATCAGTCGATTGGACATAATTTACCTTTAAACAATAATGCCTCTTTTGTCCGTTAGAGGGCGCCAAAGTTTTCTTTTTGAAACACATTTTTTCAGATATTTTTGAAACCGATAGTTAGTTAAATTTGGAACACATGTGTTTGCTACACGTCCCGATATTTGACTTATACAAAAAACCCGAAACGGTTAAAATTACCTCCACCTCTACATAAATTATAGCAGAATTTTTTCGGAACTCTCCCAACGGCTACTAATTTATTTTATTTAAACGATCTTTTTATTTTACCAAAGTTACAATCCAAAAAGGAATTCCAAAAGTCACATCTTCAAATAATTAGCTAAAATTCGATAGTTCTCTGTGGTTTCCGTCTTATTGAATTTTTACAGTATTATTTTATTTCATAAAGGAAAACAATTATTTATATATACAATGATGAATCTTTTAGTTTCTGTCATACTCGGGTGTTCAGCATGGAAACTCAGTATGGGTCATGTTCAGCCTAATTTCATTTTGGCTGGCCGTGTTATATTCGGTAATACAGCCTGCAGTTGGGGAGAAATTTGATCTCTGGCTGTCGCCCATGCATCACGTTAACGATACGTCAGAAATTCTTAACCATATTTTAGAACTGATTGAAAGCCATATGATTATCTAAGCATGGATTTTTTCAGACTGAGGACGAGGCCAAGGAAGGCATACTTACCGATGACTTAACTCCAGAAAATCGACTGATGTACAAATGGTTTCAGGGAAAATGTTTAATGGATCGATCCTGGTGCTAAGTGATAACGATTGAATTTGTAAAGTTCTTATAAATAAATTATAAAATTGTTAACAGAAATTGGTGTTTGAAATGATCTGTGATATTGTCAAACCTTTTACATGACAGCCACAAAAGGCAATTACGTGTCCATATATTAACAGTTTGAGTTGGAGTGGTAGTAAAAAACCTTTCATTTTTCCAAAAATGTCTAATTTTGCAAAAACTTTGATCAATATAAACCACTCTATATATACAGTTATATAGAAAATAAACTAAATATCCACAATTGATAATTTTATGACACTTTTGTGTAGACTCATATATTAATAGATATTAGCTTCAATTAGTATCCTTTGCAACCAGCACGCACATCAAACCACATATTATTACTAAAAGAGATCAATCACTCTGATAACACATCACAATCATTTATACCAAAAAAATTACATCTTTAAGTAGGTATTTAGGTTGCCTTATTTACCTAAACACAGTCTACAAACAGTATAATGTCCTACAACATTTGAGTGTTTTAAGACATTATACAAAACCAATTTATTTGTTTTTTCAAAATTTTATACACTATGACAAACTGGCAAATTCAAATCAAAAACTACACAAAAATGTCATGGAGACATAGAAGTGTTTGGAATAAAATCATAACATATTCAGTTACTGAATTACATAATGTAAGTTATATGTAACCTGTATTAGACCATGAAGCACCTGAATGTTATTGTCCTCAAAATTACATTTGTTAATTTGTTGCCCTGGTACTCCTCAACTGTTGGACCTGAGCTGAGAGAACAATTACTTTTTTGCTTAGTCTTTCATTGTTTTGTTGCAAATGGAGAATCAAATCCGCCTGCAAAGAAAATCCAATATAACTAAGCACGATGTGCCGATTTTTGACAAACTCGCAGGTTTGACCATCATTGACGCGGAAAAGTTCGAAAACAGTGGAATATATCAGACTTTGACAAAACCTGTCAGTAACGAAGTAAACTAACCTGTCAAACCTAGGTTTGAACAATATAAACATAGGTCCGAAAATTCTTCGTTTTCAAGATACAAGGGGTTAAAATTTAAAAAAATGTATTTTCGTACTTTTTTTAAATATCCTTCACCTAATGTTGTAATTCGTCGGTGGTAGTTATAACATTAAGGAGCTAATTCAGCCCTAACTTGATTAAATTTATTAAGTCCAGTGGCGTCTCCAGCAGGATGTGAACGAATACTTGTGACGAAAAAATATATGCCACTGACTTTTGTGCATTTTTTATTATATTCTTTGGATTAAGCAAATAGAAACACAACTTTTTTGATCCTTGAATTTTTTTTGTATCTTGCTTAGTTTTCTAGATATGAAGTCCACTTAATTGCATTCAATATCCGATGGACCAAGGAATATAGGGGAAAAAATAATAATTTCCAAAAAAACTTTTGTCCATATTATTAATTTCACCTACCTGCAACTTGAGAGCAAAGAATTTGCGAACCTATGTTTATATAAACTCTTAAAATTACTCAAAGAATTATTGCCTTTTAAATTTATGGTACATACTTAATTAAAACTGTATATAATATAACTTATATTTAGAAGTAAAATATGCGCGCTTCTAAATTTTACCTCACCTGTTTTTCAAATAAGTCAAGTGCACTTCCTTCAGGGCTCTTATAGCCAACCTCTCCTTCTGCTGCATTTATAGGAGATGTACCAGGCATCCATTCATCCTTTAAAACATCAGGTGGAGATTTTAATTTGTTAAAATTCCTCACTTTTACTGAAAAAGATAATAATTTGAACATTAGTATGAAAACCCTACTCAAACTTCATTTTTGTCACACCAATACAAACCAAAACATTCAAGAGGCAAATTCTGAAAAAAAAATTTAGATGAAAAAGAATCTATACTCACATATATAATTTACATTGACTCCAGCTAGTACACATGACTCTACAACTATGAAAGCACAAACATATGAAATGGGAGATAGTGCACCACCTTTCAGACATTTTTCAGCAAAATCATCAGGATAGAAGTGCTGCATTAATGTCTGAATGAACATCAGCACTACACTCCATAAGCTGACAATATAGAGTGGTAATGCAACATGTGCTTGTGATTCTTTATGGAATTCGAGATATCCATTTAATTTTAGATTGTGGTGGGCACAATGAGTTATTCGATCAACAACCTGAAAATAAAAAGAAGCTAAAAAGTTGTTACCATGACATGTTAGCCAAAGCTCAATGAAAATACATATAGTACTAGTCAAAACTGTTTGATTCTACATTATTGTTGTGCAGAAATAGGTGACAAATCTGATGAGCAGCACCTGAAAATTGTTTGCTAAAGCTTGACACATCATCAGTCCATATGCTGAAACTGAAAGAAAGGTTCCTAGGCCTCTGGCTTTTGACTGATATTACATCTATGTTTAACAGATGTTTTTCTCATTTTATCTACCACTTGGACAATCACGTCCCCACAAACCTTAAGTCTACGTCTGTCACCTTTTGAAACAAGTTACAGAAAATTTCTATTAGATGAATTGTAGTGTTTACTTTATATTGTTCATTTCCTTTTTATACTTTAAATGTTTTTTGTTGTTAATCTGCCTAAAATGATTTGACCCTTATCATTAAATTATATTTTTTATATAATTTCTTTATATACATATATTTTTTTTGACGTTTGTAATTATTATTTATTAATTATTAATATTAACTTTAACTTATATAATTTGGTTAAGAACTATTCAGTTGTAATTTTGTTTGTTAGGCTAGTACTTTGATCAGCTTGTCTGTTTACTAGTCCGTTTTGCAGGGAATTCATGTTGTTTAATATTTAATTCTTTTCACTTTTTTGCTCTGCAAATAAATGCTATTATTATTATTAGTCTTGTTAATAATGGGGGGTACATAGCACACACATCTATCAGTTATAAGTCAGAGACCTAGGCGCCTTTTTGTGATTTTCAGTGTAAGTGCTGAAGATGTATCAGGCTTTCGCAAACCATATATAGATGGCTCAAGTTATTTGTCACCTATTTGCACACAACATACTGACTTCTTCAAAAGACCATAACACATTTGCCTGTCTCCAAGACTAGACCTTTACTGTACTCATAATTTTTAAAAAACATAAAACAACATTGTATGCAGTTATTCATGGTTACCTACATGAAAAAAAAAACATATTCAGTTTGGTACATTACTTTTGTTTTCTTTAATCAAGAAAGTACTTATAGTCAGTCAGAGTTGCCTAAAATTTTTAAGACATGAGTGTTGCAGTAGGATGTTCTGTGAAATTTGTCTGAATATGACTGCCTTTATTCTGACAACATTTTTTATGGATGTTTACAAAAGGCTTAAAATTGCAAGTGTTTGTAGAAAATTGTGATTTAAGAAAATTTTAAAACATGATACATCTTAACATAATTTGCAAAGAGGGTCACAAGCCCAATGAAGGTATATCTTTCCACTGGTAAGTATTATTATATAGATACAATGTTATCACTTTGGTAGCCATACTTTTCTGTACATGAATGTATGTGTGTCTATCTCAGGAAAGATATATCACAGAAATATGACTAATGCTTCGACTACTCTACAGCCTTCATTATGATACATAATTTAAGGGTATTGAACTATATTAATACTTACTAAAGTAAAAATCCACAGTCCTATATGAATATAAATTATTGCAAAATACTCTCTGCATTTGTTCTTTGGATCAGGATGTTCTACAGCATAATAAATAGCTAGGATATCAAGAATAAATGTGAACAATAACTGTAGGCTATACAAGTGGGCTGTTTGCAAAGGCTTGAAGGTTCCTATTGTCTCTTCAGTAGGATGGAGATGTTCTCTATCATCTACATTCACTGATTCACTAAAAAATGTAGCACCCTGGAAAAGAAAACGCATCTGGGAAGATTGTAAGGTTAGAAATAATGTTTTGCTTACACCAGAGTTCATGTTGACACTCCTGTTCAAGCTAACCATTCCTTGACTTCTTGCATGGATTTACCGGCTGTTATTTTATTATTTATGATCCAAATAATAACATTCACTTGAATCCGTTTTATTTATTTATGCACATGAATCATATTATGTGTTCACTGTTCAATTTTTAAGCAAAATAAAAATGACCATGACATTGACAAGCACAGAGCCAGAGCACCACGAGACACGAGAGTACAGATTATGACACATGACATAAACTTAAACTTAACCTGTGCTTCCGTTCTGTGACGCAGACTTCTTGACTTTCACATTTCGCTTAAAAAATATTTCCCGCCGCGTCACGTCATTTGAAATTGTTTTGATTAACCTCAACTGAAGATAGTTAACATGTATTTTATAATTTAAATTTGAGGAGACAGTTGATAACATAAGCAGACAAAATCATGGTAAGCACACTTATTACGAGTCCGTCTTGCATTTCACTCACATCAGCATATTTATAGAGAAGGAGTTTAGCACCTAGTCAAAAGGTTAGAAGAGATGATTCTCCAGCTTCTCCATTGCAGACCTCTGTGGAGTCCAGAGTGCTTAATGGATTTATTTTACCAATTACTATAGCTCCTAAGCGTGCAAGAGGTCGTTCCAGTGATGATAGGGAAACCAAGAGAAAACCTCTGACTCAATGTAAAAGCCAACTACTTTTTGTTTCTGACCATGTATGTATTTTATAATTTAGAGTATTTTGAATACTTGAGTGAAGATCGTTTCATTGTAGGAAGAGCTTATTAAAAAACTATCGAGACCATTCAAATGTCCAATTCCCAATTATGAGGGCTGTAATTCAACTAAGAATTTGGGTATCAGGAAGACAAAAGTTAAGAGAGCCTTATATGATCCTAATATGCCCAATGCTTTGGTTCTGTATACTCCACCAGAGATGACTGAACATGAAAAACTGAAGAATGAAGGGTAATGTTGATTAGTTAGTTGTTTTGGGGATATCAAAGATGTTTGTAGATAGACACATCCAAATATCAATTTTCAAATTTTACTGCACATTGGAAATGTGCTTGAAGGTATTTTCCAAAATTTGCATTGCAATGAAGTATCAATATTTTGCCTCCAAAAAGTACACTCTTTTCTGACAAGAAGTGACAAAACATGAGGTCAAAGGTATAAACATAAGATTTATGCTAAAGCTGTGGCCATTATAGAATACTATATTTTTTACAGACCATTGCTAGTGCATGTAGTTGTAGATCCACTGCTGGGAAACATACTGAGACCACATCAAAGAGAAGTATACATTAAATTTCATTTAATTTATATATAGTAATAGGATTCCATCAAATTTTTGGACCACACAGCATGGTCTTAAAATCACTCAACTTATTCCACAATACTTGATGAACACAAACTAATCTTCTTCTGACACAAAACTGTACTAAACTAATGTTGAAAAGAATTTGTCTACATATTTTTGTCCCTCAAAAAAGTCCTTATATTCAGACCTGTATTGTGTTCAGTGCAGATAATGTAAAAATAAGGAATTTAGTTTTTCTACTAATAACGCATTTGTTTATGGAGCAACGAAGTATGAATTCGTTTTCTAAAGGTATTTAGGTAAATATTCATATTTTTCTATACACTTTTGTCTATTACTGTATGTATAAATTACTTTTCACTGATATTTGGCCTCATTAGCTTACAATATTGTCATTGTCATTTATTTATACTTTGAAAAAGGCCAATGTGGTGGCCCAAACATCAGTGAAAAGTAAATTATATATGTGTGGTATCATTTGACCAGAGAATCAAGCAGTTCTATTACCATGAAAACCTCACAATAGGTTTCTGGTGTTACATTAGCATATAGTAATGTTGCAGTTTTTATTTTATCAATATTCATATGTTTAGCTTTTATATTTTTATTTCCTTTGTTGTTACAACTGACATTTTAAATGAACTCTAAACGCATCTTGGTGTTAATGCGAGGAAAATGGCACATTATCTGATAATGCAATAACAAACCTAGAAAACATCGCTGTCGGGTTTAAGCGATAACCACTTAACCAACACGAATGAATTGATGCGATAATTTGCACTACAGTAATGCCATTTTTCCGATAGAGAGGCGATAACGCAAAAATAAAAGTGTGACGTACCCAACGTCCGTAAAACATATCCCTAAAAAATTGATATCAACGTAAATTTGAAATTATCTAAATTAAGATGTTTACAAGTATAGTGAAGTTTCAAACACACCCTGTAACATTAATAATGTGGCTGAAGTTATAGACCAATGCACAAAATATATTTCTAGGGTGTAAAATTCATGTATGATTGCGTAACGGGAGTACAAATTCCTGGCTCTTATGGCTGTATAATGGCAGATGAAATGGGATTAGGTAAAACATTGCAATGTATAACATTGTTGTGGACACTGGTTAGACAAGGTCCTGAAGGAAAATCTACAATAGAAAAAGCCATCATTGTATGTCCTAGTTCTTTGGTGAAGAATTGGAATAATGAACTCAATAAGGTACATACGCTCGTGTCGTTTGATTTATAGAATTTTCATTATATCAATCAACATGATGTATATTCTAATGATTTATGTCATTAGCCTAGCAACTTTGGTCTGCTCCAATTGGAGCCACTATCATTTTTTAAATAGTGAGATAGAAATCATACAGTTTTTACAAACACTGTTTGATATTTTATCTTTTTCACAAGTTTTATTTTAAAGTTTAATATCCTATATATATACAGTGGTGGTAAATAAAGGTAGTTGGTACATAAGTGCCTCCTGCTGTCAGAATTAGTCGTGTGAAGAGGAGCTAAAGCAGCTGCTAGTGACATATCACAGCCAGCTTTGACAGCTGAGCTGCTATCAAAACCAAAAGATTCCCCCGGCGGTAATGCCTCACAGTACATTTAAGGCTGCACTATGCCCAAAACCGAAAATGTGTTTGGACAGAGTAAAGCTATAAAACTTTTAACTTTTTAGTGGCTGAAAGGTAGACTGCAAGCAATGATAATGGATGGCGGAGCAGACGGAAAAAAGAAACTGCAGCAATTCATGCGAGGACAAGGTCGTACTGCTATTCCAGTCCTTATTATCTCGTATGAAACATTCAGGATGCACGCTGACATACTCCATACCAGCGAGATTGGTCTCGTTTTGTGTGATGAAGGGCATCGGTGAGCAGTAGTCTAAAACATATTATTGTCACGTCACGTGAAGTCGTGGGCTATCACGCAAACTCTTGCATCAAAGTTAAAAATGACGGGTTGACTGCAGCATGGGTACCTAACGTGACAATGGTATACTTTTCTTCACAAATGCGGAGTTCACATATAGTGAGCTTATGTTATATGTCATAGGCGTGCGTGATGTTAGCTTGTGAGGTAACATGACCGAACGACAGAACTAGAATGTGTTTCCGTCTTGAAATTCGGAGCAATATTGGAATGGACAGGTAGTTTCATTATTCACTTTTTTTTAACTAATATTTTTAGATTGAAAAATTGTGAGAATCAGACATATAGAGCGCTGATGGGACTTAAAGCAAAGAGAAGGGTATTGTTGAGTGGAACTCCTATTCAAAATGATCTCTTAGAGTATTTCAGTCTTATACATTTCGTTAACGAAGGTCTGCTGGGCAGTGCTTCCGAATTCAAGAAAAAGTTCGAGAACTACATTCTGAGAGGTAAAGTCAAATTATCATCTACTTAGCTTAAATGAAAACGTGATGTGACTGTTTTTAGGTCAAGACTCCACCGCGACTGATTTGGAACGTCAACACGCCTCAGAACGTTTAAAAGAGTTGACCGATATTGTAAATAAGTGTCTTATACGCCGTACCTCGTCACTTCTCACTAAATACCTACCTGTGAAATTTGAGATGATTATCGTATGCCAATTGACACCTATTCAACGTCAGATCTACCTCAACTATATCAATTCTGAATCTATCAAGAGAACGGTATGCATTCATTCCAGAAACTATAGTGCTTTCTTTAAGTATGAATTAATAAGTATGGTGTATAAGGTAGTCATTCTTAGGTGCGTGACAGTGAAGATTCAACGGGAACCAGCTTTAGCTCACTATCAAGCATCACAAACCTAAAGAAACTTTGCAACCATCCAGATCTCATATTGGACAAAATTCGTGAAGGTTCGGAAGGTTTTGAAAAATCTAGAAGTCTCTTGCCTCCATCTGGCGGAGATAAGGACGTAAGACCTGAATTAAGTGGCAAGTTGATGCTACTCGATTGCTTTTTGGCCAATCTGAAGGCGAATTATAATGATAAAATTGTACTAGTTTCGAATTATACGCAGACATTGGATTTGTTTGAAAGGTTGTGCAGAAAAAGGTTAGTAAAAATTTAATTTATTCAGCTTAGCACTAGATTCGAACCACCATTTTTTTGCAGAGGTTACATGTACGTCCGTTTGGATGGTACAATGACAATAAAAAAACGTGCCAAAGTAGTAGAGAACTTCAATAATCCAGAATCCAATGAGTTCATTTTTATGTTAAGTTCAAAAGCGGGTGGTTGCGGATTGAACTTGATTGGTGCTAATAGGCTGATCATGTTTGATCCTGATTGGAATCCTGCTAATGATGATCAGGCTATGGCTAGGGTGTGGAGAGATGGGCAGCAGAAGCCGTGTTATATATACAGATTTCTGGCGGTGAGTTCAATGGTGTAGAGAATATATTCTTTAAAATTCTCTATGCATTTTGTTACAATCTGCAAAAAGTTTTCCAGTCTTCTCCTTAGTTGTACTATTTGAGCACATAACCAGACCAGTTCAAACGAATTTCCACAGACTTAAGATTTTTTAAACGATTTTTTTGTATCATTGTTGAATTTGACCTTAAAGAATCACTCGCAATTTATCATGATTTACTGGTTAGCTATAAAATAGAATCATTTCATCCATCTTCAGGCCGGCACTATTGAAGAAAAAATCTTCCAACGGCAAGCCCACAAAAAGGCGTTGAGTTCTACGGTGGTTGACATGAACGAAGAGACAGCTCGTCATTTCAGCGTGGCTGAATTGAGAGATTTGTTCCGATTAGAAGAAACAGAGTCAGACACGCATCGTAGATTAAAGTGTAAAAGGTGTTTGAATAAGATCCAGATCAAAGCACCACCAGAAGAGGCAGATTGCACAGATGATTTGTCACAATGGCACCATTGTTGGGATAAGAAAGGTTTAGCTGATATGGTGAGTCGGTTGAAAAATTGTAACTTTTATGCACTGGAACTTACCTCCACGAGGCATAAAATATTTCTTGTGGAAATAAGCTAATTTTTCTGGTGACACATACATTATAGTCTTAACCGAGGTATAAGGATACATTATGTCAGTATCCAACCGGGGTGACGCCTCTTGTCTGCGTAAACAGAGCTGTTTGTTTACCACGAGGGTGGTACTAGAAGTACCCGGCCTGACCTAGAGATGGCGATAGTTGTTTGAAAAATATCATTGTATTAGAAAGTATGCAACCTATAAAGCATATGTGTTAAGTTTGAAGACGCCACGTTGTTTAGTATTTGTTTGGCAGCCATCAATACTGAACCTTTTCAGTGAATTTCGGAAAATGAAGAAAATTGGTCATCGTTATGTGGTACAATACATTTATTAAGGCCTCAGCCCAACCAATATAAAAGCTGAACTGGATTCTACTCTGGGTGAGTCTGCTTCTTCGTTTACAACAGTAAAATATTGGGTAGCAGAGTTCAAACGAGGCCGTATGAGGTGCCAAGACGAGCATCGCAGTGGTCGACCAAATGAGGTGACGACTCCAGAAATGGTCAAGAAAATTCACAAAGTGGTACTGAGTGATCGTCGACTGAAAGTGAGCGAACTAGCAGACATAGTAGGTATTTCAAAAAGTGCGGTTCATCGCATATTATCTGAAAATTTGGACATGAGACAGCTGTGTGCAAGATGGGTGCCGCGATTGCTCACAATCGAACAAAAACAGTGTCGTGAAGATGTTTCAATTGAGTATTTAGCGAAGTTTCACAGCAACAAAGCAAAATTTTTGCGTCGTTTCATCATCATGGATGAAACATGGGTCCAACACTTCACACCTGAGACAAAAGAACAATCAAAACAATGGACTCAAAAGGGACAACCGGCTCCAAAGAAGGCGAAGACCGTTTCATCTGCAGGCAAGGTTATGGCGTCGGTTTTTTGGGATGCGCGTGGGATAATTTTCATTTACTATCTTGAAAAAGGCAAAACTATCAACGGCGAGTATTATGCGAACTTATTGCAACGTTTGAGCGATGAAATCAAGCAAAAACGGCTGCATTTGGTTAATAAGAAAGTGTTGCTTCATCAAGACAATGCACCAGCTCACAAATCCGTTATTGCAATGGCCAAAATTAACGAATTAAAGTTTGATTTGCTACCTCATGCACCCTATTCTCCAGATTTAGCCCCCTCGGATTATTTTCTGTTTCCAAACTTGAAAAAATGGCTCAGTGGTCAAAGATTTTCCAACGATGAAGAAGTGATGTCGGCAGTTAATGGCTATTTTGAGGAGCAAGACAGTTCTTATTATAAAAAGGGTATCGAACTTATTGAACATCGCTGGGAAAAGTGTATAGAGCGCAAAGGAGATTATGTTGAAAAATAAATACATTTTTTTACAAAAATTTTGTGTTTTCTTCGTTGGGTCGGGTACTTCTGGGACCACCCTCGTACATATATATCTCCAACCCGCGCAGTGAACGTATGTTCATTTTCTACAAAGGCCGTTTGCAGGAGAGGTGTACTCAGTAGGTGATAAAGACAGCCCAAAATGTTTTTAAGTGAGGAAACTACTAAACTGCTTTTCTGCATTTTTTATCTTTTCGCTGCTATTTTAACGTACTCGTACATTAGCTTTGTTATTTTTTAAAAGGAAGGATTGTGCATAAATGCTACACCGTCGCGTGCGCGGTATTATGTTGTCTAGTTTTGACATACACTGTCTTTGAACGCATTCAGTTCTACGTTGCTATCACAACCTTTGTCGCGTTACGTACATATACACCGCATATTCACGAACAGATATGATCCTCTCAAGTCCAACCGTCGGGGCTACGTACAGAGTTCCTGGTAGCTCATTTGTGCCCTGGGGAAGGTCCCCGGACCCGTGGTAGAAAGTACCGCTGGGTGCTCCCGGTTAGCCGCTGGTGCATCCGGCGCAAGACAGGAAATCCTTCGGGAGTATCGGTGCGTTGGTATGCCAGCGGTGTTTGTCATAGCAAAGTAATGTCTGGAGCCCGTCTAGGCAACTAGATGGGTAACACAACGGGGCCCATTCTGAGAGCATCTCTTTTGACTATTTTTAATCAAAATAGTGGAGAAAACAAATTGTATCTACTATAAATTTTTTATATACCTAAATGGTTTTTTCAAGTTAATCAACTAAGCAGGCTAAATAGATTTTACAAATAACTTAATTTCATAAAGTAATAAAATGAGCTTAGCTTTGCTTTTCGGACACTACGCGGGAAATAACACGATTCAGTTTCAGGATGGAATAAACATTTTTTCCTCTTAACGGATGATAAGGTATGTTCGCATGATACTCTCCAAGTATTATCTGATCTCCTACGACTTCAGTACTCTACGAGTGGGCAATAAGAAATAGTTATCTGATATGATAAAGTTCGGGTTTTGTATTTCAAAGACTTGAGTTGCAGTGTGTAAAAAAAGCTGAACCTTTGCGTGTTAGGCCCCGTAGAAAAAATCCTCAGGAATACTGGCGTTGATTAACATATTCCACCTTAATGCGTTAATTAATGATAATGAGCAACATATTTTCGTAAACTTAAGAGTTTTCTTATAATAATAATAATAACTTCATGAAATTTATGAATGAATTACGTATAAATGGCAGTTATTTTAGTCGTAAAGCATACGTGAACTGCATACAAAAATTTTCTCTCCATTATTGTTTGTATAATCTACCCTAAAAATTTAATATGAAAAAAAACATGATACATCATTATATGATTTATTATTCAGCATTATAAATTATTGACGGCTAAAAGTATATTTTTGTACAGTAAAATATAGTAAAACTTATTGAGTACAACTAAATGAGCATAAATTATAAAATGCATAAAACAGTCGTTCAAAATTAACATAAAAATACATCTGTATGCGTGTGTCGAAAGTACAAAACATGAATACACCAGAACACTATCACTTCTTTTCTTATTGTATGATTTTTGAAGATGGTAAGACATATCTGTTTTCGATATCAAATACTGTCTTGCCGTGCGTATTATTTGAAGTCTGAAATATTATTTTCAACAGGTTTTGAAGCAAATATGGGATATGTCAAAATACATATCTTTCGTGTTCCATCAAAGATCTGCTAAGCAGGAATCTAAGCCTCAAAAGTGTTTTGAGGAGGAGGAGGCAGAAGTGCCAGAGAAACAAGAAGACTCTGATTATGAAGACAAAGATGATGATTCGGATTATTCCGGTTGAATTGAAGCTTTAAATTGTGATTGTTGTTTTTCAATAAATTATCTTGTGTTGATTTTGTTAGTTTAATAATACAGAATCTTAACTTGTTGGTAATATAATGATTTTAAACCTGATTTGTTTTATGATTTGAAGATAAGTATCTTAGATTTTTTACAAAACGAAACAGACATATATAGTTGGGACACTCAAATACACTTTTCATCTGAGAAAACGTTCTGTAAGTTTCATTTGAATCGTTACAAATAATTCCGAGATACTTTTTTCCCAGGTCAGTGCTTATACCAAACTTACTTGTCTATTGTTTGTCTTCTTATTACTTATTTTAATAACTTAACTGAATTTTAAGCAGCTTTGAAATGTATCACACTTATGTTTGTAAGGTTATAGAAACAACTTTTTTTTTGGTCAAACGAGAATGAAACATAAACGTTAAATGTCATAATGATAATTTGCGTGAACCTTAAGGAACATGTATCTGTAAAAAACATATATTTATATTTTGTATTCCTAATTCACAGATTTTCCTTCAGAGCACAGTTCAAGCAAAAATTAACTTGACCAATTAGTCAACGGTATTCTAAATCTGTCTTATTTACCCATATTTGTATATGAATATATGCATTATAGCATTATTTATAGGTATATTAAAATGCGCTCACATTTTGGATATTGATACTATCTATATAGCCATTCATTTTTTGAAAAATATTTCTGCTAAATTCAATAATTGTTTGATGTCAAACATAGCAGATCTGTCTGTGTTCTGTAGAATAACAGTATTTATCTCTATGAGTACTATTTTAGCAGCAAAACTGACTATAACTACGATGTAAATCAGACTTCTATAACAGGTAGTGATTGTAAGTGTATAACATGTTCTTTTGGCTCAGGATTTTCAATGTACACTTCACATTCAGACACAATATTCTTTGGTTCGTCATTGGTTTTGATGGTCATCATTTCTGACCAGCTGCTCGGATGTAGTTTATTCTGTAAAACAGAGTAAACAATTAGTTGAACTATAGCTACTCTAGATAACAGAAATATAGGAGGAAGGATGGAAGCGGCTCTACAAAGTAACATTTTTATCCATTACAATTTTGCTATTGCGCAATTATTTGAGGCTAGATTTATCTTCCGGGTTTTCATTGTTACTATGCGAAATTGCTTTTTTCACTAATCGTACCAACACATTACACGAAAATACCCTTGTTTTTTTTCAACAAAGGCAAACGATAACAGTATATTATATTTCCACTATGGTGAATACTTACCATAAAATATATTTTTTCTTTATACTTCTTTTTTGTTGAATTGATATGCAAGGTCACTGATTCAGAATACCAAAATGGACCTATTTTCGGTTTTAGATGGCATTCAGTAACGTATCTGGAAATTCAAAATTCAATTTTTTAATCAAAAATGAGGGTATTAATTCTCTGTAGTATAGTTTACTTGAAAAATACTTTAAATGTGTACCGATATGCTTGTAATATAGTTTTATCTATATTCCAATCTATATGCAGCTAGTACTATACGTTTATGTGCTCATTAAAGAAATGATGATAATTTAGGTCTCAATAAACATCATAAAAACGGTAAATTTCAAGTGGAATGAAACTCACTTCTTTGGGGTATATCCACTATAATCGATATACGAATTTGTTATAATGCTCAGGCCAGTTGTAATGGTATCGATACGGCTGTAAGAAAATATTTACATGTATTAAAAAAATCATCATCAACGATGCGAAAGTGACGACTATATTTAATGTGAAACTGGATAGTAGGTAGTTGTTTTAGAACATATTTGTTCTGTAAAGCAGCATACGTACGTTGAAACGCTTTTATTGATTGGTTTCACGTAAAAGTCTTGTTTTTTATTCTGTTTTATTACCACGGGCACTAACACTCGTTTTAGTTTGGACACCATGATGACGAAAACCACAAAATACAGACTATAATAACATACTAATGGAAGAACTTATATGAAACGATTAAAATCGTTCTTTTCTTTTTTATCGCAAAAAACTCATAGCGAGCACATACTTTCTTACATGGTGGTCAAAATATTTACGGTGTAAACTTAGATTTTTGGATTATATGGAATAGTTTTTGAACTTATTTTTATCGTGAGTAATTATGTTTATAATGGCACTGGGGAGATCTAAAACTCGAGTGTATTGATCAGGAAACCATTCTGAATAAGCGTTAAACAACATAAATGAGTGAGCCGGTTCCAAGTATTGTGAGGAGGCTCAAAGATATGTGGATGTGTGTTCTTACCCATTTTCATTCATATTCAGAAAAATATGCGTAGCTACCGGCTCATTTGACTCACATCCATCTGATTCATCAACCTGCTTAGAACGGTAAACTGGAACACAGAAACTAGTGAAAATAACAACCACCAACTCATCTTTTTGTTTTGAAAATGTACCTATTTCGTAATTTAAAATCGGATAGTGTTCAGAGATGCAGAGTTGAAGTATAACAATACTTTTAGGATGCCATTTTTCAATATATAATATTTTTATGCTCAAGTAGCCACGAATGCCTTGCTAGGTTTAGCGGGCTTTGTTGACAAGGAGTTTGAAATCGCCTTTGCTGGCACCTCATTCTTAACAATAAGGAGATGATTGACAACACGTGATCAGGCAGTGTCAATATTAATTGGATTGCTCTTCTCTAAATCGCATGGAAAATGGACAATGTAGTTGAAACATGTAGGCAGACATGAAGCAGTATTCCAATCCAGACCTAGCCTTATCTGATGGGCTTTGTAGATAAGAAATTTGGATAGTGAAGAGCGCTTTTGATAGACAGGTCTCTTCTCACAACATGATGAGTTTTCCGATAGCATTTTGGCTTAAATCATTGTATATGGCTCTTGAACCTGACGGAAAAGGGTACGTATACGTGCTCAGAATAAGCAGGACTGTGAATCAAATAAGTTACCCGCCAGATTGTTGATCTACCTACTTTTGAAGTACCGATTCAGATAAAATAATGAAAAATCTACATTACCCACTTCAGTATTCTCATTTAATCCTTGCTTTTCTGATTCAAAGGAAAATTAAACTTCCAAAATTCATCAGGGTTTGTTTTCAAACAAAATGCTCTTTGAAGTATGAAAGAAATATGACTTTCCTGCAAATTATTTCATACTGGAAAAATGTCTGTTATATTACGAATGTAGGACAAACATTATAATTTGTACATCAGTATAAATTCAACATATATGACTATTCGTAATACTTATTCGTTTATCATCTATATCCTTATCAATGTTCAAATAAAATATTTCTAGTTCATATATTTCATAAAAGATGACTTAACTAACTGCTAAAATGTATGCTTACCTGTACGACGATTTAAAAGCTCTTTTTCCACATCCTCCTGCACCATGCCACCATATCGTTCATTCAGAAGAAAATTATGAGAATTCGCTTTCATAAAATCATGCTTGTTGGGTATTTCGTGTTTAGATTTCATTATGTTGATATATTACTATTTACGCTGATCGCCCTTGTTTTTTCCGCTGAAAACGCTTAAAACGCTCCGCGGCCAGTTCAAGGTACGGTTTGACCGGTAAAAATCGTTATGTTAACTACTGTGCGAAGAGACACGATTGTTGATTTGCTGGTGACTCATTAAATCATATCAGCAGTTACGTCAGGTCCATATTATGCGCGATACGATTCACGCCGGTCTATTGTTTATAACTTTGTTCAGCATTTAAGTATTTAGTAGCCATGAATCACATAAAAACATAGTTGGTTATCAGTTATTAGTAATAATAAATATTGAATTTTGTTATTATAATATGCATTCTGTTTATTTACCAGACATATGTAGTGAACATCCAGCAGATCAAGTAGCTTTTAAAAGCTGGTTAAACATGGCAGAAACTTCCCATAATTGTTAGAAGCCCCTCAAAATTTATCAGAGTTGCCTGGCGATAACCAGTTGCACATTTGTTTGAGCAATTTTTCAAAATAAATTACAGAAAAGTGGCGCCGAGTAGCTTGACTCTGCACATCCCACGCAACGCCGTCATCGGTTCATATAGGATTATGTCAGCACAAACTTGGCCCTCTGATAAAAAAAGTCAGTCAAATCGGTCCATACAATTAACCATAGACATTCTTTCCCTGCCCTACTGGCAGTCCATCTGGCAAAACGTCGCCTCTCCCCGATACCTAACCGGTCAGACGTGGTACTGCGGCCACAGCATAAGAAACACTATGCTATGACGCGGCAGAATACTTACCAGGACCGGCACGCCGCCTGGAACAGAAGCAGACGCGGCCGTTAGGTATCCGATCCACCTGCTCGGGCTATTTTAGAGAGAAAAGTTGTGTCAGATATGTTTTACCTCTAAAATATTTTTCAAAAATGATCATGATCTTTGGGGACGTCAAAAACGAAGTTTGGGCGATACTTAGTTTTTTGCTTTTTACCTTTTTCTCCGCCAAGACTGGACCAAAACTAAAAGGCATAGTCGTAACATTGTGTAAAAGTTTCATCCGAGCGGTAGGCCAGTAGGCGTGGGAAGTAAAAAGGATTTTTTTTAAGTTTTTTGGATCATCCTGAGCAAAAAGGTTCTTAGTAACCGTACTCTAAAGGTGATCTTTTTCGATTTAGCCTCCGTAGAGTATATTACGTTTGGTTTATTTTGAACCATTGTTACTTATTATTAATATATCGGAACGCTTATATGGCCTTGAATTACGTTTATGGTCTGCTGATACCGTGACGTATCTTTTCATCGTATAGGGAATCCGTTGATTCGTGAGATCTTAATATTTTGGAATTATTTTGCCTATTAGGCAGCAGCGGTGGCCGCCGTAGTAGACTCTTCGGTCTCCTGATCAGTCGCCGTGCGCTGTGCGGGTTAAGTCCCGCCCCAAGAGAAATTTTTCTCTTCGCTATGGATGTTGTGATTGTCTGTAGGTGGTAGACGGTCTCTGACTGTCGAACGTGGAGGTACCACCCGGCGGATCTTGTAGGCGGAGCCAGAATGTGTGCATGTTGCATGCACACGTGTTCCCTCGCCAGAGTCCGTGTGGCGTTCCCCCTTACCCCTGTATCCCCCTATTACCCCACGGTACCCAATGGGTGTTTAGGCCTTAGGCCTTCGTGGTAGTTCGAGTATAAAAAAATGGTTATAGTTGCATTCAAGAGCGACAATGCATCTCATTTGTTGTTATTCGTTTCAAGTTGTTTACATCTGTATATGTTTTGTTTATCAAAGTAAAAGCGGGTAGCAGGCACTCGGTGTCTAGCAATAAGGCGGTACACATGGTTTGTCCCATCGAAGTTCCGTAATTAATAAAATTCCTGATAATTTTATTAATTTACGCATTTTAACGGTTTGTAACAAAATTTTGTCCGTTAATCTCGTGACATCTTATTACCTAGCCTATTTTGTGATGGACCTCGTAGTTATTGGATCCGTTCACTCTGCGAGATTCCTAAATTCGAATCAATGGTTAAATCGCATTGATATCGGGGATATATACAGGGTGACTTCGAAGTTGAGTCATTTATTTTAACAGTGAGTAGATCTGATCAAAGGAAATGTTTTTTTCCTTTACCATTTTTCTGGTAAAATTAAAGTAACAAAGTTATAGCCCTTTGGAAGTTTGAGTACCGCCCTGTCTCAATAATAATATTATGTGCTCGTGTTTGGCGACAACGGATATAATCCGCCTTATCGGTTCATCGCATCGGAAACAAAAAAGCGAAAGAATTTGGAACGATGTTTTTACAATTATTTCATTCAGTTGTATACACGTATACAGTCAGTGTCAGTCTGTAGTAAATAGTGGTGTCTGTTGCGTGGCTCAAACGAAATAAAAAATGGCACATGTTTATGCGGATCGGTTTCCCAATCGAGTGCAACCAACCCCTCGTGCCTTTGTTAATGTAGTACAACGGGTTCGTGAATCAGGTGACTTAAGACCTCACATATGGACGGCATGCCGGTGCTCCAAGACCTCACGATCAAATACAGGTCCGCACTGAAATACTTGTTGGGAGGATACTTTATAAAACAAGGTAAAATTTTTTTTTAATTTTTTTTTATTTTTACACATATTTTGGTTTATCTTCCTTCTACAATCATTATCTGAAAATTAATGACTCAACTTCAAAGTCACCCTGTATAATAATCTGGGATCTTGTTTATGATCTATCGGTCTCACGAGATCTGACGTCGGTATTTCGATGAGCTCTCGTAAAGCACTTAGTAGCCATTTAGATTTGTTAGTTATCTGGCGAGGTTTTTGGTTTCAAAACTTGTTTGATATCGATTCCGCCGAATCTTTGGCCACTTATTTGACATCCGTTGATCCGGCGAATTCCGTGAAATAGGAAGCGTTATTGTGTACATTTAATTTCTCGATGTCCTTCTACGTCTGAGAATCGTTGTTGAGATCCCCTGATCACGAGAGGTCATTGTCATTCAATTCAATCCTTATCAAGATATTTGTTGTTCTTTTAAAATACCAGGCCTCTAGATTGCTTGAGATCCGTTGATCTCGTGATCCGCTGAACGTGTGAGGTCTCTCTATTCTCGGATTGTCATTATTTAGATCTGATGATCTCGTAAGGTTTTTGTCATAACGCATATACAGGGTGAGCTATTAGTGCGGGCTTGATATATACAGGGTGTCCGCAATGTTGGGGTTTTCCTTTTCAGAAACAACTACCCTTGAAATAACAAAGGTAATGTGTAGTGAAACGAGGGCGACCAAGTAAAAAAAAATAAAGGAAAAAGTACTCACTCTCCAATTGACGAGAAGGGCTAAGTACGTCTCTGCCTGAAATCGAAAGTTATTCACCCCATTAAGCGTGAACGTAGATTCGTCTATCACCAATATGCACTTCAAAAAGTCCGGATTATTGTCATGTTGATGCAACAACCACTCACAAAACCGCACTCTTGCTGGAAAATCGTCAGGTTGAAGGGCTTGTACACGTTGGACGTTTGCCACACTTTAGTTTTTGATACTTGCACGTCTCTAGCCACGTCTCTAGTGCTTGTTGAGGGATTCTCGTCTACGCGATTCCGTAGTTCTTCCTCAACTTGCACCATTCGTGGTTGTCTAGGCCTCCCACTGTGCCCACCTCGAAATTCCTCCAAATGGCCCGTATCCCTGACTCTCTGGACCAGGTACACAAATCTGTGGGGCCTTGGATGATGTCGTCTAGGGAAACGGTCTGCATACACTCGCGACGATTCTGTATCATTTTGAAGACATTCGCCATAAATTAACAACATATCAACGAGTTCATTATTGGTGTATGAGTGTGCCAATATTATTTTTTTTTTGAAACGCAATCGATTATACGGGTTCGTTACCTCTATACGCGTGACCCTTTACCGTCGGTTGAAGGTTGCATACTGACTTGACACACTGACCCCGACCCCCGACCCAGTTCTGTCGTCGGGTTCAGCTAGTAGCCGGTACCAGTCTGAGATATCGCGGGTCGCGGCTACAGGACGGTATCCAGATATTTTTGATGTTGCAGAGCCCTTTATCTCGGTTCCCTTAAGACATTGGTGTATATGGTACTAAGAAAAATTGCTTATGTTTTCAAGATCTACACGTCGTGTAAAGGAAAACCCCAACTTTGCGGACACCCTGTATAACTCCATTATTACATATGGTATTTACTGCAAATCCACTTACTGTTTCAGTTTTTTCGATAGACTATACAGGGTGGTGAAGGACGCAAAAACGATATTTAAAAATTTCCATTTGGGCCTTCCTGATACTTTCACACTTTTTGATCCATCATTTCACAAGCTTTTCTATGGAAGTTCCATTTGACAATTTTAAGAAATCGTTCATTTTGCGTTCTTGACCACCCTGTAATATAAATTAACCAAAAAGTTGAAGCTATAGGTATCCACTATAACAGTTGCGGAGGTGCGAGTTGGGTGTTTTTTTGATAGACTGCCCGATATCTCATCAATTTAAAAATAAAACCCTATAGTATGTTATACCAAATTGCTTCGTTTATCCGAATCTACAATAAAATGTAGGCCTTTCCATTTAGCCTGCTCATCGGGTCTTGACCTTACCTCACGTTTCTCCGTGAACGTCTCCGTCTACGTTTCCGATGCCAGAAGGACAAATTCAGACGATAATTTTTGTGTTTTGAAAACGTCATCTCAGGTACCTCAAATTCGTAGTAACTCTAGTTAGTTGTATTACCTCTTTGATCTATCACGATGACGAGTGGCGAGCCCTCTCGCGACGATCTGTCAAACTATTATTGAGGTTATGTGACTGTGTCAGTTGTTATGTTTTTGTTTACATCAGTGAGGGTGTATGTGATAAATGAGGCTTAAAATAATTTTGGGATAAAATAATAAGTTTTATCTAAAATATTATTATGAACAATGACGCTGTTCATACAAATAAACAGTCCGTCTTTCTGGCTAATAAATAGCCTAGCTGCTTATTCTGTAATTTCAAAATTAATCTTCGATCACATTTACCTTACCTCAAAAATGGTAGTGGATGAAGAATTTCATATTCCCTTGGGAAAAGCGTACTGCAATTTCAATTTCAGTGTGGTAAGCAAATATAAAATTTGTTTTTTTTCTTGCTGAACTATGATACATCCCTTAAATTACACTACTAACTATATGTAGGTGATAGACAAGGCTGATTTAAAAAGAAAAATGATGAATTTTAGTAATTTTTTATTCCTCTTTCCTCAGCAATGACTGTGGATATTAAACTTTAGCATCTATATATCTTTTTGCTTGTCATTCCTTGGCAAGAATAAGACATTGGAAATCTGAATGTTAAAACCTAAGTTTTGAAAGTACATGCTGAAGATGACATACCTTTTTGCGTCTTACTAGATTTAATGACAGAGGATGTCTGGTCAAGTACAAACATCCAAAAATTGTATTGATATAAATATTTTACTTTTATTCATCTCACATATTTTATATTGTTTTAGTGGGACCCTAAAGTTACTACTCTACCAGGTTTATATTTAGCAAGTTCTCTTCTACTTGGGCCATTTGGCTTGTGCCAGCCGTACTATTTGAGATTTGTATCATTACTTGCATCTTTCATCAACTTACCATTATTTTATATCCTGTTTTCTAAATACTGCCCTGAGGTAAGAAATGAAAAGACATATTTTTGACAAAACAAGTTTCAATTTTAATAAAGTTATTTTACATTGGATAAAACATCTAATTTTAGAGCAAGTGGTCAAATATATGTTCATCCTTCACATTGGCCTTACTTCCACCCTTGTATTTTTGTAGCCATCTCTATTATACCGATGTTGTATCTCTGACAATGGTTTTGCTTACTTTTGTCATGTATGAGATGGATTGCCACTTTTGTGCTTCTATTTTTGGTGAGTTTGTGTATTCAGCATCTGCTATGAAGCTACAATCATATATTGAAATACCTTCAAGGCTAATTGTTGACCACTACACAGCACATTCAAGAAATGGCGTTTTTGTCACTTCTCAGAAAACTACCCCAGAACTCCTTCAAAATCAGGGTTTATACATATTTTAATTTTTTACAACTGTATTTGATATTCCCATTTTTTGTTTATTTTGATCACATAATGCTTTACAATTTTTATTTCAGGATCTCTAGCAGTTGTATGTAGGCAAACTAATATAATATGGGTAGTTTTTGTAGCAGGCCAGTTTTTACTGAAAGCTATGTATGCTACATTTGCACCAAAACAAACCAAAACTTCTGGAGGAATTAACATGAGTGTAAGTTTTTTTCAGAGTTAAGATGTAAAATTTAGTCTAGATTGTTTATCTAAAGTTGAGTGGCTTCCATCCGCACTCACATTTTTCACCTATTCAAATCTTATTGAAACAAATGCCAGTGCATGATCTTCAAATTCTTGCGCTCTTATGAGCCAGCAGGGAACAAATGTCTGGGCACCTATAACAGGAAAAAATAAGCTGTGATTTGTTGCTGTCATTGCCCAGGTCTAACCATCAATCTTTATTTAGTTCCAGACCTCTCAAATATCAGTGCATTCTAATGCATTTTATATAGATAGTTTTTATTTTTATTGAAAATGTGTGGTTTCTGGAAAGCTTGATACATTGATTTGTAGATAAAAGAAAATATTAGTTTCAGGAAATCGTCGATTTACTAAAGGAACTGATGAAAAATCCGATAAAACATGCCATCAATACTTACTTGCGATTTTGGAAGGGCATAACATCGTATCTTGCCGTTGGGGTAGCCTTCCTCACATTTTTGGCTATCAATGGTAGCATAGTTGTGGGTGATAAATCAGCTCATGAAGCTACCATACACTTACCACAGTTGTTCTATTTTTCCATATTTTGTTTAGTATTTCTGTGGCCTTATTTTGTAAGTCAGTCATTAGATTTCCTTAACTTTATAAAGACCCACAAGCTCGTAATCTTGCTATTTTTGATATTAGGCTTGCTGATTGTACATTATAATACTCTAGTCCATCCATATATGTTGGCTGACAATAGGCATTACGTTTTTTATATTTGGAATAGATTTTATGGTAAATATGCGTATTTCAAGTATTTTATGGTTCCAGTATACATCTTTTCTCTGTATATAGTAATTAAAACAATTTATAGTAGTGGAGATGCAAGTTATCTGATGATGTATATACTTTGCGTATTTATTGTGCTTGTCACTCAAAAATTGATTGAAGTTAGGTATTATTTCATTCCTTATATTCTTTTGAGACTGAAAACTGGAAACAGGATTCCGTTAGCGAAATTCTGTCTCATATTAGAGTTTCTGACATCGCTTTTTGTAAATATAGCGACGCTGAAGTTGTTTTTTACTAAAACAATCATGTGGAGTGATTATGCTGATCCACAAAGACTAATTTGGTAGGGTTCAGTTGCCTGTGATATTTGTTATGTTAGTAGTTGATTCCAATAAACAAATTAAGAACATTTTTGGTATCATTTTTACAGCCTTCATCTGTGACCTGGATAAATCAGATGTGCAGATTTTGAACCCAACATCATTTCGACGGTAGCACCCTTGAAGTGTCCTGATTCATTTTCCTCAAATTCTTGCACAGAATACGTCACGTCGATCGATCATATTTCGGCGGCCCAAGATACTTTAAATATGTTATTTGTCTCGGCGGCCAGGATAAATGTCTCATTGGCCACAAAGCCCAAAACTCAACGGTTCCCAACATAAAGCCCACCTAAGTGAGTATAATGATGTGCCCGTCTAAGTGAGTACAATGGGTATCAGTTATTTGCTCTACTGAAAAACGTAACATACCATATAAAAAATGCGGCGAAATAACCGAAACCAGTCTTCCAAGTGACTTTCAGACTTTGTGCCCATTAAGACATTTATTTAGTACGTTGAGATATATACTATATCAGAAATTCAGTTAAACCAACCGAAACCACTCTTCCTAGTAGAGCAGATAGCCGAGTAGAACCGATACTGCATTATACTGACCTAGGCGGGCCTTGTCTTGTGACTAGTGAACCATTCTCTAACTCAAACTCTATCCCACTACACTCCACGATTTTTTTACCGGATATGACATTCGCATTCAGTACTATAAAATATTAAAGTGTATCAAGTGTCATTCGCTCTCACCCATGGTAGGCGAAAATAAAACGTTTGCTTTATATAGTCATTATTAGAGAATTTTCAAAAATTCATGCATGTCCTGATCTTTGCTGAATCCGAATTAGTCGTCATTTAAAGTTTCGGCTACGACGGCGGCCTTTTTCATAGTACAACTGACGATGACAATATGTATATTTTATGCTTATATTGCCTGCTCGTTAGTAAAATAGTAATTAAAACTTATGTGGTTTTATTTAGTGGCCAGACAATGGAGTCCTATCTACATGAAAATCACCAAGTGTTGCATTGAAATTTTCGTTTTTTCACCTCGTTTTTCGGAATTGTTGTATTTTACAGACTGTTTCAAATAGCAAATCGCAATTTTGGTTGTGGTTAGATGTCGCCTTGAAAATTCGATGTCTTTTAGCCATTTTATACTACAATGTGTAGGTTGGCTCTTGTTGGGGACTTCGTGTGTTATTTTTTCCCTCTCCATCTTCGTTTCCTCAGGTTACACCCGTATTCGGATGTATGGGCATGTGCATCTACTTTTGTGGTCGCCTATGTGCATTAATTTCGGGCCTGATGAAGCCAACAAGCTGAAACACGTATTGCTCGGGTTACCTATCCTATTTTCTGCTCGAATCCACTTTCCCTTTTTGCGGATTTTGCCCATCATTTTCCTATTTTTTGTTATATGTACAGTGGACCTCCGGTAATCCGACAAACATTATGCAGGACAGTGTCGGAGGTTCGAATTTGTCGGATTATAGAGTACTGCCTAAGACCCTCTATAGTCCGGAATTTTTTACAAAAGGGTACCTTGTAATCCGACAAATTACATATCCAATGGCAAGATTATATATGTTATGTATATGTATGTACTTTGAAGTACAAATCATACATAGTTTATGTATGTCGAATTTAGTAAATTAAATAACAATAGAGAGCTTACGTTTTATTATAAAATTAAGCATAAATGCACATACATAATATGTACCAAAATAATCAAGAATTATTAATCAAAATCATTGATGAATTTATCAAACTATGAAGCTTGGAAATATTCATCAATTGTTTTTTGTTTAAGGTGGTTATAACGCGAGATCAGAGCTTTGTCCCTCAGTCTTCTCAAAAGTAAAAGTTCGTTGTAGGATGTACCATTCTCTTCAGCCCATTGTAAACCTAGCTCAAAGGCGTTAATTGCGTCTTGTGCTGTGACTTGTGGAGCAGTTGCAATCACGTCGTCGTTATTTTCCTGATTGTTTGTTGTATAATTAGAAACCTCTTTTATAATCTCTTCGTCAGACATTTCATGAAAAACATTTTCCTCTTTATCCATTCCACGGCACCAGATTTCCAAATCTTCCGGACTTATCTGTGTTTCAGTAGCGACTTGTTCTATAACCTCCGAAGTAACACTGATTTGTGGAACTTTGCTAGGAGTGGTGACTATATCTGGTCATAACTTTTTCCAAGACGATTTAATAGTTGATGACGGTAACGCATTCCACCACCGACAAAGAGCAAAAACCAAGTCTTTCATATTAAATTCTTTTAAAGTTTTTTCTATTGGTTGGTCTTTTGATACGGCTCTCAGGAGTAGGTTTTTCTTATAGTCTTGTTTGACAAACTGAATAATATTCTGGTCCATTGGTTGAATCAGTGCAGTGCAATTTGGCGGAAGAAACATCGCAGAGATGCATTTATCCTCAGTTGTTAGTTCTTCTTCAGACGGATGACCGGGAGCGTTATCAGGAAGCAACAACGCTTTTTGAGGAAAATTATGATCTTTTAACCATTTTCTAACTTCAGGTACGAAGCATTCATTAAACCACTTTTTGAAAAGGTCTTTTGTCATCCATGCACTTTTTTGTCCGTACTAGTGTACAGGTAAATCAATGTTTTTGAATGCCCGTGGTTTATTAGATTTCCCAATGACCATCATCTTAAGCGCGTGTGTGCCCGCAGCGTTAGCACATGGTAGTATGGTTACACGCTCTTTACTTACTTTTCGTCCAGGTACGGATTTTTCGTTACAAGAAACGAAAGTTTTGTTAGGCATCACACGCCAAAAAAAGCCCTGATTCGTCTGCATTGTACACCTGTGACGGGTCAAGATTTAAATCGTTTGCATTTGCAAAAATCTTAATTTAAAGGGCGCTATGCAGGTGGCATCGTTAGAAAGTTTCTCTCCTGTAATAGTCATTAAACGTATGCCATGACGACTTTTAAAACGCTCTATCCATCCTTTGCTGGCCACAAAATCATCTTTTTTTGTTATTTCCTTATAAAAAACTTAGCTTTCATGGCCAACATGGGTCCTGAAATTGGTGTATGCCTCTTTCTTTCCTGAAGAAATCACATGTACAAAGCTTCTTCCACTTCTGGATGTTCAGCTTTCTTGAGTGTCTGTCTCTTGCCTGGACCGCAGTAAGTAGTTGACACGAACTTCTTGATCTTCTCGTGAGTTCTTTTAATGTCATAAATTGTAGATCGGCCTACGCCGTATTCACTTGCTAAACTACTGAAAGTTTCATTGCAATTTAAGCGGTCTAAAATATCACATTTTTCTTTAATTGTCAATGTTTTGTGCTTTAGCTTCTGAGTTTGTGATGAGATTACTAGGTACTACACTTAATACACAATGAATAAATAGTAAACAATGAACGCACGCTAGGCCGTACCGCTATCACCAGTAGTCAAATTCAAACTAAGTAAAACAATGCTTACCCGTCGAGCACGATAGCGGTGGCGCATACAAGTTGTAACCTGTTCAAACCTGCGTGATCTACATTAGCGAAGATTGTCAAATACGTACGTATGTAATACATATTCAAAGACATGTCGGATTACAAGGGGCGCCGGATTAGACAGGGCCCGGATTATCGGGGGTCCACTGTATATATATTAGCGAAGATGTTTCCTGAACTAAATTGTCCAGCTTAGCCGCTTAGCCAAGTTTATTTCTATCTGAGGACGCCTCGCCCTCTTTATATCCTTTGGTTCATCCTGTAATCGCTTAATGATAGGTATAACATCATTCATCATGCCTCAAACGTTTGTATCCTAATTACTTTCCGCGTGCCTCCCTGTACATCTATGGGTAGTGTGGTCTCTTCGTCTTCCTACGGTAATTCCATATTCCGCTTGACAGCTAGGGTTTACGTTAATTGCCGTTGCCCCAGGCCTCACGGAGCGAGTTCTCAACTTCATCCTTCAAAATCCCGCTCATTTTCGAACTGCTTTTGAATATTATGATGGTATACCGTGCTGCTGTTGCTTCTCATTTTGGCGGTCAACAAGCAGGTATATAATTTTCCCATTCGTAGATGATAGCTCTGCCTTAGGTCATACAGGATGTTTCGTACTCGCATGTGAAGTTCTAGCACGAGAACAGTTTCAAAAATTATGTTTATCTTACATTTTTTTCATCCTCGCCCTACAGTGGCGACAGCAGTGAAAACTGACAAAAACGAAGTTTAACCCCTCTTAAAATATTGTTTGACTATGGTTCAAAAATCAAACATCGCTAAGTTTGAAGACGTTTTTAAATAACTCCGCAGCCTTTACACCAATTTTCAAACCCACAAAGTTTGTTAGTCTTTGAGATATAATAGTAACCTTGTCTGAAAATTGAGGGATCAAGAATTGTCAGAATTTTCACGATTACAATTTCTACGTTCTCGTCTCGGTGTTGACGCAGAAAATGAAATGGTGTTAAGTAGACTGACTCCGAATCTCCACCGCAGCAGCTTCAGTTTGAAAATGATTAGATTGGACCTCAGAGCTGGTGAGGATTTTTTTGATATCGTAATATTATTGGATAATTTTCCAAAGTTACATTTTCTCACATGATTTGTCACTTGCTGGAGGATCATGAGCATTGTAAGAGCCAGTTGGAACCTTTTTTCAAGCTAATATTGCCACAAGTGATCACCCTGTATCGCCTTACACCTGCCACATAGGCGCCATATAGGTCGATAGATAACCTAAACCGCATCTGTTGGGAAATTGTCGGCAAACATCGCACAATCTGCAAAGGTGTATTATTCGCCTCCGGTGGGGGTTCTATCGGTTCATAAAAACTGTCCTGAGATCACTCGGGGCAAATCTTTTTTCGAAGGACTGGACCTTCCTGAGCCAAAAGTACCTGTTTCATTTTATTGTACTTGTATTTGTGCGGTTTTGTTAAAACACTCTGATATTTTATTTTTGTGTTATCATTTGAGCCTCCGTACCAGCGAGTTTGCTCAACCCAGAGCAAACTTGCTCCCACTTCACGATCCTGACAATAATATGTGCAGGAGAAGAGTAACATTTTTCTTGATATTTTTTCACAATTTCACACATC